CTCTCCGGAGTACAGTTCTTTCCCATTTACTTGGCTTTTTTGATAAATATTATTCCTGCTGCCCTTTGACTTACTGAACCAATGCATGAAGAACAGAGAACACTGAGGGCTTTCTCATAGGCTAGTCCCCTCCCAGGAAAGTTTTATCCTGTTCTCCAGGATTAAATAGCTAATGACAAGGACTGACATGGATTATGGAACCACACACAGAGGCCGGGACTTCATCAGGGTCCCCATGTCTCAGGGCAGAAGGAAACTCTTGGACACAGTTGCGTCTGTTCTGTCCCTTGCAGGAGAGAAAGTAGGTGAGAATGCCAGGTGAGCTGATAGGGAAATAAAAACAAGGGTGAGGCCCGAGGAACATCTGTGCATTCCTCCATGGTGACAAGGAGGGAATAAAAGCAATATTGTCAGGAGATGAGTGAGGATTATTTAGTGATACTGAGGTTGCAGCATGAGGAATCAGAGAATCAGTGTTGTAACTTTGTCCCTTGGTTTACAAGCCAGCTGCCATCAGCAGGCAGGGCAGATTGAAAGGACATCTCAGCAGCTGGAAAGTGCCACTGCTGAGAAGAGGGACAGGATCTCCCCCCAACACTGCAGAAGGAGGAAAGTCTAGTTCCTAGACTGGAACCCAGGGGCAGCTCCCCAGTGGGCCACTGGAAGAACCTCTCCTTAGTGTTGAAAAGTGTTATGTGGGCAGAGGTGACAATGAGCATGGGCCAGACAGGAAATGTTGGTTCCAGAATCAGACCTCAGACTAGAAAATTCACAAAATGTACTTAGATCAAAAGGCCCCATTCAAGGTTCTTAAACTAAGGGGTTTAAAATTTCTGCAGTCCACCTGGAGTAGCAAGGGTTATCATAAGCGCTCTTGAGATGTATTAGAGGTAAGTTCTTACATTGAGATGTTCTGAGAGAAATAAACCTTTTCTCCATTCAGCCTAGACATATGAACTCACGTGCTGTAGCTGTTGTAAGAGAAGTGGCACAAACTGGGTGTTTCAAAACAACAGAAGTATATTCTCTCGCGCGTCTGGAAGCTAGGAGTCCGAAATCAAGGTGTCTCCAGGAACACACCCTGTCTGGGAGCTCTCAGGGTGAATCTGACCCAGGGCTTTCTCTTAGCTTCTGTTGACACTGGCAGTCCTGGGCATTCTTGGCTCATAGACTCGTCACTCCAATCTGTTTCCATCAATGGTCACATGGCCGTCTTCCTCCCATGTTCTTTTCTCTCTTAGAAAGACATCACTCACATTGGATAAAGGGTCTGCCCTACTCCAGTCTGACCTCACCTTAACCACATTACATCTGCAGTGACCCTGTGTCCAAATGAGGTCATACTCTAAGATTCTGGGAGGGACATGGCTTTGGGGGCAGTGCTAATCAACACATTGCACAGAGAAAATGCTCTCTCCGAAACTTGTACGTCACTGTGTCTGGGTTTAGGTAGAAATAGTCTTGGTGTGGAACCCATCAAGGTCTGAGCCTTAGCTTGGATGTAGCATTGCGTGACCAGTGAGGGACTCCCCAAGCAAGTCAGATGCGTTTCTGGTCACAGTTCAAATCAATTCTAAACAACACATTTAGAACAAAAGAGATACTGAGGAAATCCTTCCCATAATATAACATATGTGAACTCAGAAACACTCAAACTAATTTACCTCAAATTATATCCCAAAACTACGGCTGTCCTCTGTTGATTGTGTGCTATGCTGCCACGAATCTGTGGGTAATGTTTTAGGCAATCTGTGCACAGCATTTAACTTTTTTTATCTTTTTATTTCTGATGTAGTATTTCTTCAATGTTTGCTCATTCCAAAATTATAGGATAAGCATAAAAAAGCCATCTAACACTCTATGGAGGGTTGTTAGATAACAGCTAATAAATTTTAAACAAACGTGCTACTTTATCAACATTTCACTTCCAGAACTTTCTTCTGTTTTCATATCAGCAAGAAGGCATATACAACCTAAAATTCAACTCAGCAAAGAACTCACATTCCGTGCAGTCTTGTAGCCTAACTTTATACACACTATGACTGAAAAGCACTTTTCTAGTCCTGCCTTACCATGTAAGGGTAAGAAATGTTTGGTGTAAAAGTTAGTGTCCAACTTCACAGTCTCCAGAACAAATCCCCTAAAAGACCTGGAGATTGGTTCATTTTAATTTAACAGCACTTACGTGACACTATTTTCTCCTGTGACAATATACACGATTGTATTGAGTGTGGATCAATATGGATCCAAATACAGCATTACTGCTGACATGCTGGTTTCTGTTGCCTGTTGAGTGTCTGTAACTTGATGTGAAGGAAGATGTCATTCAGGAGGCTTGATAGCCACCTCCTATTGTGTTCCTCCCTCTGTCTGCTTCTAGGGGCCTCCTCTCCTCTCACTCTGTCTGTTCACTCTCAGCTTATGTGCATTTAAAGGAAGTTTATCCCTAAGCTCTGAATGAGGGGTGTGCTTCTAGAATAAAAACATCCAGGTGTAGATGAAGATACTAACTTGGAGAGCAAGGGTTACCATGAGAAGGCCCGAGAAAATCATCTCACTGAGCATCTGCCCCATGCTCCTACCTGACAGGACTTAGGACTATTGCCAAGGTCTTCCTGTTTTGCTACATATTAACTCTGGGGTACTGTCTGGCCTGGCTGACTTTTTCCTGCCATGGGACAGGTTGCGACTAAATGATCTCTGAGTATGGCCAAAGGTGCCTGGATCCTGGCGCCCACACAGAGGTAATGTCTTTCTGAAAGGGGAAGGAATGGTGCTCAGAGATTCTTGTCTGTGGTTTTGGCAACAAGAGCTTAGGGTCTTAAGTTTATAAAACCATAAGTGGGTGGCCTTGATTTTGAGCAGTTGATGAAGCCTATGATTTTGAACAGTTGTGTGGAGAAACCTTTTTAAAGGACAGAAGGATGTAACTTAAAGCAACAAGTGTTACACTGCAGATGACTTTTGACTGTTACAGTTGGAACTGTGTATCCCCAAAATGCATATGTTGAAACCCAGTGCCTCAGAATGTGACTCCTTTGGGGAACAGGGTTGTTGTAAATGTAATTAATTAGGATGAAGTCACAGTGGAGTAGGGTGGGTCCCTAGTTCAATATGACTACTATCCTCATAAAAGGAGGAAATTTGGATCAGGTACATGGCTCATGCCTGTAATCCCAGCCATTCGGGAGGCAGAGTTAGGGAGGATTGAGGTTCGAGGCCAAACCTGGGCAAAAAGTTAGCAAAACCCTATCTCATCAAAAAATATGGACGTGTTAGCTCGTGGCTGTCATCTCAATTACTCAGGAAACGTAAGTTGGAGAATCAAGATCCAGGCCAGCCAAGGAAAAAGAAGAAAGTGAGACTCTATGTGAAAAATAATGAAAACAAAAAGGGCTGGAGGTGTGGCTTAAGTAGTACAGAACCTGCCCAGAAAGCATGAGGCATTGAGTTCAAATCCCAGTACTGCTTAAAAAAAGAGAAAGAAATTTAAACGACACCCACACAGGGAGGATGCCATGTGAAGAGAAGGCAGAGGTAGAGGGATGTTTCTATGGGTCAAGGAACACCAAAGATGGCCAACAAACCACCAGAAGCTGGGAGAAAGGCCTGGATCATTCTCCTTCTCCAACCAACACCTACATCTCAGATTTCTTACCTCAAGAACTGTGAATCGCTAAGTCTCTGCTGTTTTAAGCCAGTCAGCGTGAGGCCCTTTGTCTGGAAGTCCACTGACCAACAGCTGCTCCCCAAGCCAGAGCTGAGGACACCCAAGCTGAGGGAAGGAGTGTTTTAATGAAAGGTGGGCCATGACTGTCAAGTACACATGAGACAAAGCACAATCCGACTGACGGACAGCAGTGAAACAACCAGCTTATCACTCGCACAGAAAGTTCAAGAAGAACAGCCCAGGTGCCAACTTCCCTGGTCCCTGCCCCAGAGATGGCTCGGAAACATCAGGGGCTGGTGACAGTGCTGTGAGTTGTGAGGTGCCCTGTTGCTGAGGAGCCAATGTCAGTCAGCAGCTAAGCAGTTTTGTGTCCTGTCTGTCTCCTGAGGAATGGGGCAGAAAGTCCCTGCCTGCCCCACGCAAGTGGGGATGAGGCTTCTCCCAGGGCTCTCATCTCCATAGTCCAGGAGGTCCACAAGGTGTCTGCCAGGACTCAGAGCAGCCAGGGTCAGGCCTTTGCCTAGTGGCTTGTGTGAACACATCTGAGGTCCCTGGGGATGAGCTGATCCCCTTCAGTGACATCGTGCCAGAGTCACTTAGTAAAACCCACTCTCTCATTAGCACGTTTTCCCTGTATTACTATAGTGGCTTCATGCCATTAGGGTTTTGATGACTTGCTTCGTTCTCAAAGGAATGATAACACACTTGCTCGGAGTACTGGAAAGCGGAGAGCCAATACTTCTGGCTCACACCTGTGATCTTAGCTACTTGGGAGCCTGAGATCAGGAGGACTGCGGTTCCTGGCCAACCTGGCAAAAAGTTCACAAGACACCTTCTCAACCAATAGCTGCATAAAATAGGAGACCGAGTCCAGGCTGGCCTGGGCAAAAAGCAAGACCCTATCTCCAAATTAACTGAGCACAAAGGGCTAGAGGTGTGACTCGAGCAGTAGAGAGCCTGCCTTGCAAGTACAAAGGCCTGAGTTCCAACCCCAACATAATCAAAAAAGTGTTCAGTGAAAGTGACACTCTGGAGGTGGAACATCAGCACGACGCAGCTGTTTCTTGATGAATGAGAGAACTAACATCTCCCCTTGATGGGAAAGAAAGCAGCCATGGAAAAGGCTGCGTCCATGGAGCACGAGTGAAGAAACCCTCACAGTACATAGCAGCCCCTGCATGGAGACCCCAGCAGGAGGGACTGACAAAGCTGCCCCATCTGCCAGGTAGCACAGTCGCCAGGGACACCTCTTTTGAGACAGTTGTCAAGTCATGGGTCCAGGCAGCATCTGGCCTAAAGATCCCACTTTCCTAACGCACTGAGGTGCCACATGGACAGCAGTGACCCCAAGGGTGGGCAATATGGCAACGCATTCAGATTCAAGGAGGAAAAACCATCACGTCAAGCAAAGAGCCACTGCAAGGATAAGCCCTTGGGTGACAGACGCAGAACATCTGCTACAGCCCACCCGGCCATAAAGGTGAAAGAGTCCACTTAAAGAAAGAAGAGCACCTTCATTGCTTGACGCAAGTTTTCCTGATATCTGTCCCCACTGTCCTCGCCTCCCCTCCTCACAGCTAAGCCTGTGTGCACACAGGCTACACGGCTTCTCTTGAAGTGGCCAACGCTTTATGTCCTTAAAGAGAGGTCACGTGATGCATGAGGTTCTGTGACAGTTTTCACAAGTTAGCACAACTTGCTGTGTCACAGTCCATTGAAAAGACTGAGCAGGAAGAAGATTCCAGAAGCTGAATTGGGGGGAGGATGCACAGCTGCCGGCCACCATGAGTATGAGGAGTTACAAAAGGGCCCAGCACCCAGGGAGACTGGGGACAAGCCCTGCACTTGAACATGGATGGAAGAGGATGGACTTGAAGGTGGGTCCAAAAGGCCTCAGAGGTACCAAGACTGCGGAGGTGGGCTTTACCTTCCAGGGGGTCAGAGGCAGCTGATAAGATTTGAACATGAGCAGTTTCATGTGGGGACAGCAGAGAAGGGGAGACAAAGCATCGGCTTGTCATAGCTGTCCTAGTGAAGGATGACATGGAGCTAAGTGTTTGTGCCAGGTCAAGGATGGGGGTCACTGTGCGGGAACAGACACTTAAGATGCACCTGCTTGCACCAGGCTCACCTCTTCATTTTCCCTCTAGAGATGCTTGGAGCAACAGGTTCTTCACTCCCTACAGCAACCCCTGTGTTGTCATCTGCAATGTCCACTTGGGTCACAGGTCAGCTAAAAACACAAGGCTTGTCATGGTGGCTCATGCTGGAGCCACAGATCCTCATTCCTGCAGCCCTACTGCAATGGACAAGGCGAGCAACCCTAGAGGGCTGCCTCTTCTTGAATGCCACCTCCTCCCTCGTGCCAGGGCTTCCCACAGTAAATTCTTGTCCGTATGTTAACTGAAGTCCATCCATTCTGCATTTGTGCTTGGAGAAAAATCTACCCAGTGTCTTCATGAGATCCAGTAGACAACAAACCTCATTTTCCTTGGGTAGATTCGTCTTGTTCTTCAGCTTACAAAGAAAGTGGATGAAGGTGTTGATGGAATGAATGGCTCAAGTGGTAGAGTGCCTGCCTAGCAAGCGTGAGGCCCTGAGTTCAAACCCCACTACCATAAAAAAAATTACTAGCCAGGAACCAGTGGCTCACTCCTGTAATCCTAGCTACCTAGGAGGCAGAGATTAGGAGGATCTCAGTTGGAAACTAGTTGAGTAAATAGTTCATGAGACTCTATCTCAAAAATACCCAACATAAAACAGTTGATGGAGTGGCTCAAGTGGTAGAGAGCCTGCCTAGCAAATGTGAGGCCCTGAGTTCAAACCTCAGCACCACCAAAAAAAAAAAAAAGTGGGAGGTACTTTGAACATAGCCACGTGGCTAGGAAGGATCTCTAACTCCTGATTCCAGAGAGTCATGTCTTCCCACCTGCTTGTGGCAGGACGACACTGACTTCATTCTCATCTGAACTCAAAGCCACTTCTGCCTTGGTAAGGCCAAGCTGTGTTCTTCAGAGGACATTGTGCACCTGGGAGGTCTCCATACATAGCTGGGATCCTGCCACAGCCAACCAGGAAGGCAGGGGTCAGCTATGAACTTCTAAACCCAGGTAGAAAAAGGTAACTTAGAAAAGTAGTCATACAAGGAACATTTTTGCCAGCAAATAAAATTTGGTTAAAAAATGGAGTCTTGGTTCTATGTAAATCCCTGGCTATGGTTACAGGGCTCGAGGCAAGCTCTTTACGGTAGTTCCCCATTAGTGCTGTGATAAAACATCACAAATTCAGTGGCTTAAAATGATGCGACCTTATAGTTCTGGAAGTTAGAAGTCAGACAGATTTTTGTCACTCTCATTTAGGTGTTAAATGAGACAACATGCTAAAGGCTCTAGGGGAGAATCTATTTCTGGCCCTTTCTGGCTTCTATGGGTTGCCAACATTCCTTAGCTCATGGTCCCCTCCAACTTTTGCCATTGCAATTATCCCCCTTCTCCTCTGACTCTTTGCAGGACACTTGTGATTCTATTGTGTCCTCTCAGCATAAACTCTGCATCTCAAGGTCCTTAACCACATCTGTAAAGCCCCTTTTACCCTGGAAGGGAACACTCCACAAGCGTCTAGAGATTCAGTGTGGGCATCTCTGTGGGATACTATTCTGACCAGCACATCATTCAACGTCAGAAATACCATCCCTAAGACATCATGCAAGACGTATGTTATTCCCTCAGTATGACACTTGGAAGCGACAGGAAACAGTTTTCTCTCTGCCTAAGGGTGACAGCTCCTCTCTTAGACCTCAGCAAATTGCCTCATTCCTTCTGACTCTTAGTAGAAATGCACTCTCTGTGCCCCATATGTGGCTGAGGGAGTTCAGTCATGTGCACACAGTGGTGTTTTTATGATAAGGGACCACATATTCCAGTAAGATTGAAGCACATTCTAGGTGTGATGGGTTCTACCATCTACGTTTGTATAGGCAGACTCCATGATGTTCCCACAATGACGAAATCACTCAACACTGCAGTTCTCAGAATGTACTCCCGTCAAGTAGCTGCTCAAGACTGCATTCATTTTCTAAGTAATAAAACATTAGAGAGTCTATCCTTAAATGGTTCAAAATATGAAAAAAGCTTTGTATAAACAGTAGGAAATGTTCGTATCAGTGGGGACATTTTATTAAGAAGTGCAGATCAGTGGAGTCTGTTATATCCTGTTTTTTCTGTCTCCCCCCAACATACCCTTAAGTCAGTAATCATAGTAATGTATGATATAAACTTATTTTTGTTAAATTCCTCAAACAAAAGAAAGGTAAACCTCCTACTAGGCTTTGAATAACAATAAGAACCATCAGTTGGTCAGTGATTTCATGTGCTGAAGTCTGAATTCTATCTATGGCCCTAGTCAGTACTTAAATCCAAGTGCTCAAAGACTACTCTAGAAACATTTTATCACTTGAATATGCTGACTGGATTTACTACCAGGATACCAACTGCAAACATAATTGTACCAAAGTAAACAGAATCTGGTCCTGGTTGAAAGTTGAGTTCAGACCCAAGTCTCCCATGAACTCTGAGTCTGCACTTGGCTTTTCTGTGATAGCAATCCTGTTGATAGAGGTACATGCAGATAAGAAATGCTGACCGTGGCATCCAGCCAGCAGATAGCTCTGGATTCCATGAAAGAAAAGCTTAGCAACCTCTGGCCAGCAATAATAAAAGCAGTTCTTGGGATTGCATGCCTTCCAGAACGCAAATGCTGCCTGTGATGACCAGGTGCTATTAGATAATTAGATTTATACTCGAGTGAGCTCAAAAATTGTCTTTTCCAGGATGGAGTTTGGATGTGATGAGGGGAATGTTTTGGTTTATTGTCCATAACCCTATTTATGTTTGATGTAAATATTATTTAGAAGATAATAGGTGCTAGATAATATTTAGGAAAAATAGGTCTCTAAAGACATTAAATCTTTCCCTGTGGCCCAGTGTTCTGAAGACCATGGGAAAGGCCTCGTTGTGATGAAGGTCCACGATCTCTGTGGAATTTAGGTTTGCAGCCTGCCTTCCCACTATGCCATGGGAGGACCACCTCGAGAACGTCGTGGGCCTGTGTGCAGGTCTCACCTCGCTGTGTCTTCTGGGGGAATGGTGAACCACGTTCTCTGAAGTTGAGGAAGGCAAAGCAATGTAGGTTTCTGCCGTGTCTTTGAAAACACAACCACAACGATTGTTCTCTGAGGGGTACGGGCAGCCTGCTTTGCCCACTCTGTCCTTTTTTCTTCACTGGTGAATGGGACTCCTCCCTGTCAGGTGGTAAAAGATGACAGCAGGAAGAGATGGCAGCTGGTGCATTGTACTGCCACAGTCCCATGAGGAATCAGATGGCTTTCTCAAAATAGGAGGACTTATGAGCAGAAAGACTGTTAGGTAAGGGTGGGGGACGAGGAACGATAAATGGTAGAGCAGGTCTCCCTGTGACTACCTGTAGGCCTCCAGGATGAGGGGAGGGAAGTTACCAAAACTGAGAAGATAAGAGAGTCATGGAGTAGTGCAGGGGCTGATCCCAGAGAAGCAGTAACTGTTACTTGAGGACACAGCCACTCTGACATAACCTGGTAGGGAGGGCACCAGAAAAATGAACACCTGACTTTTCCTCGCTCTCTTTAATCTGCCCTGGGCTCCCCATTGGCCAAACTCAATGGAAGTTGAGGGGACATTCATGTAGTCCATGCCAGTCAGCCCCAAGGGACTGACAGAGGCTACTGGGCCTAGAAGGGTAAATGGAACTGGCGAATGACAACCAAAGTCTGAATGCTGTACTTAATGACTGAGCAGCTGACTCTTTGGAGACTTATTCAACAAACATTTAACTTCCACTTTGTGGAGAGTGCCATGCAAGGAGCTGAGAATTCTGCGATGGCAGTGTCTCCCACTTACTGATGCATGAAGCAGTGGAGAGGGCTTCATGTGCATTCTCACAGTTGCCCTACAAGGCAGGCGGGTTCTCTTCATTTGATTGTTGGGCTGCCAGAAGGACGGGCTTGGCCAAGGCCACAGCTAGCAAGTAGCAGAACTGAGACTCAATCTGGGTCTTACTCCATGACCTATTTTTCATGTGCTGCCCCTTCAAGCAGCTCCTTCCCTCCAGGAGGTCTCACTGGGGGGAACCAGTTTGGTGGTGTCAAAGCATCTCCACCCAGGACTTCAATAGCAGGAAGAGTTGGGAACTGGGGCCCTCTGAGATCAGGAGAGGGAACTTCCCCCGGTAAAGCAAGGACTAAAATAGCATCTAAAATGCTCTGAAGTGAGCAAAATGCAAACCCATCCGGTGTGAAGCCCTAGAGCCACTCTGAGCTGGACAAGTGGCAATCGTCACAGCACAGCCTGCCAGGAACAGGAAAGGGTGCTCCTGCCCAGGAGGTGAGTGGGTGTAGGACTGGGGGCCCAGGACTGGAGTGCAGGACTTGGTCTGGGCCAAGAAGGGATTCCTCAGGCAGAGCTGTGGTTGGTTTGTTGTCTGGGCTTATACATAACGAAAATGCAAGACAGCAAATCTGAGAGGAAGGCCCCGAATGGGGAACGGGGACAGGGACCAGGCGGGCAGCTATGGTAGATACCTTGGCTCACTGGCCAGCTTCTGCATTCAGTTTCTTCTCGGGACACTGATCTTTCTGGTGCTCAGAGTCAGAGAAGTGAAGATACTGACTGACGGAGAGCCATCAGGCAACAGGACATCACAGCCTGCATGTGTTTCTCAAAGTGGAGTCCCTGGACTTGCACCATTGACCTCATCTTGGAAGTTTCTAGAAATGCAAATCCTGGGGACCAGTGGAAGTCAGTCTTCTCAAACACAAGTCACAGAGACCAGTGTGGGTTCCAACCCAGCTGCTTTCCAAACAGCAGCTCCGCTCAGTATGCAACACGTGGGCAGTGCCCGAATTTAGGGCTTATCTGCAATTCTTCAGTGCAGTGGTTTTCAAAGAGCGCTGCCTGGGCCTGAACCAGCAGCCACAACTGGAGGCTTGTTGGATAGGCAGAGTCAAATGTCTACCCTAGACCTCTGGAGTCAGCAGCTTGGAGGCAGGGCCTGGCTGTCTGGACAGACAGTCCTTGGTGATTCTGAGGCACACCCAAGTTTGAGACCCACTGTCCCTAATACAGGCAGGACATGCCCAGGAGCTCTGGTGGCAAGAACTCTAAGATGAAATCAGTGGGAGCTGGGGAGGGGAAGGAGACCCCCATGGTAAAGAGCATGGCAGTGATGGCAGTGTGGGGGTGTAGGGAACAGGGCAAAGAGGTGTGAAGACTCGAGACAAGGGTTCAGGTCAGCTCTTGTCCAAGTTCAGGGGAGGGAACAGAAGAACAGGAGTCTTCTGCCACTTCTGAGGTCGTGGGGCTGAGAGTTCTCAGATCGAGGGGGTAGAGTCCATTGGACTCATGCTTTTTCTTCTTTCTCTTCTTCTTTCTTCTAACACTAGCACTGCGAGGGAGGGGTAGGGATTATAGAAGAGGTGGAACTCAGAGGTGTTGTTATGATGGATCGCACATGGTGTCCACTTGAAGGACTCCACGAGGTGAGGAAATGAAAAGTATGAAGTTCTGTGTGCTATGTGAAGGAAATCTTGGTGGCAAGGCTAAAGCATGAATAGGAAGGGGTGTGTTAGAAGGGCTGGGGATACCTGGTAAGGGAGTTGCTGTCTTAGGTGTTGAGGACTTTGGGAGAGTGCATAGCATATTCAGTGGACAGTTGGATGTCATCGATGCCCTCTCTCTGTGCATGGGGAGAGGACCAGAAGGAAGGCAAAATCAGGGAACATGACACAGTGCTGAGTCCTTACTGTGTCTTAGGCATCCGAAAGGATTTTATATCTCAATGAGAAACTAGAGAAAAGGTTAGATCAAAAAGAATTAACCTAGAAGGTAACACACACGCTCAGGAAATCAATGTGAGTCAATGCCCTGTATAGCTATCCTTATCTCAACCAGCAAAAGCCCTTGTCCCTTCCTGTTATTGCTTATACTCTCTCTACAACAAAATTAGAAATAAGGGCAAAATAGTTTCTGCTGGGTATTGAGGGGGTGGGGGGGAGAGGGAAGGGGCGGAGTGGGTGGTAAGGGAGGGGGTGGGGGCAGGGGGGAGAGATGAACCAAGCCTTGTATGCACATATGAATAATAAAAGAAAAAAAAAAAACCCCAGTGACCTTGTGAGGTAGGGAAGAACGTACTAAAATGAATTTTATCCTGAAGCAGCCTTTGAAGTGTTTTCAGAGGAAATGGTTGGGACAGGATTCTTACAGCTCTAGTTCTCACTTCTGACTGCACATGAGAATTGCCTGAGGCGTTAATTAAAACAAAATGCAAGACCAAGACCCCCAACCCATGAGAAGCTGGGATCGTGGCTGTCACGAGAAGTCAGAAGGTCTGAGCTGAGACACAGCCAAAAGTATTGGAGTGACTTGACTTTAATATTGGATTTTGTTTTTCTTTTAGGAATGTCCAAGTCACTGGTGAGTATCCTTTTTCCTTCTCATGTCTTCTTTTGGTAAATTTTACAAGGTTTTCATCCTAAGTGTTCAAATCTATGCTTCATTCACTTAAGTGTGCGTGTGTGTCTAGCATCAACGAAGGGAAGAACCCGAGCTTGTGTGTGAAATGCTGTGCACGTCTTTCTTAGAATAATAGTAAGACTGGACACTTTATTTCATTGCCATCTCTGTGTGCAATGACTAGTGTAATGGAAGGGAATAAAAATTACAGAATTCAAGATACTACCCCTAAATGCCTAGTGGGAAGTTGCTAAGTAAGCATTGCCTTCTCCATGCCGTGGGTAGTGGTTTGTGAACATGGACCCGTGAGATGTGTATTTTGACCCCACACTGTTTCTCTTTCCCCAGAGTTGCTTTGGTTACCCCTTGAGCATCTTCTTCATCTTGGTGAATGAGTTCTGTGAACGATTTTCCTATTATGGAATGCGAGGTAACCTAGGTCCTTCTCACCCTTTGGGAGAGTGGGAGCTGCCACACTGAGTCCTAACTCTGTTTCTCCCCTCTCCTCCACCTGCCCTGTGCAAAAAGCAATCCTGGTTCTGTACTTCAGAAACTTCATTGGCTGGGATGACAATCTGTCTACGGCCATCTACCACACGTTTGTTGCCCTATGCTACCTGACACCAATTCTCGGAGCTCTCATCGCTGACTCATGGCTGGGGAAATTCAAGTGAGTGATTAACAAACAAGCCAAAATGTAAATGCAGGATGGTAGAATCTGGGAACGCAGAATCAAGGAGCACAAACTTTTCGGGGAGCATTTGTGGCCTTGCTTCTGCTCGATACCACATCCCCAGAGCCAACCCAGCGCCTGGTACTTATTACCATGAATGCAAATAGGTTTTTTTTTTTTTTGTCCTCCAGCTAAATATACCTTTGCCCCATCGTGAAATAGGGGCAGGAATCTTGTCTGTCATTAATGATGTCTGAGGCACAGGGTTCAGAGCTGGGAAAACAAAGATATTGCCCGACACACATTCTGGCTGCTGGGGGGGCTCAGGCTGCTTAGTGGATAGAAAGGATTTGCAGCTCAAGGTAGGCAAGGCCCTGCAGAAAGAGCTCCCAGAGCACCTCCAATGGGACATTATCAGGAAGAGCATCCCAGAACTTAATGGAGAAAGAAGTAGAGGCTCTTCTGGCTAAAAGAAGAACATAGAAGCAAGATGATTCACTCTCTCCCAAGAACTCTATAAATGTAACCAGTGGTCCACTCTTGGCCAACTATCGGTACCAATCACAAGCTTAGTAACTCTTCTGTTTAAAGTTGTAAATACTAATTCCTGTAGGTGGGGAGTGAAAGAAGTCTTTCAAATAGCTGACAGATAAAGAGGGTCTTCCCCCCTTCTGGTCTCTAGCTGGAACTTTGCTCTGCACTCAAATGTTGCACCCTTCTGAGGGTTACCAGTTTCAACCACTATTGAGAAATGAATATATTCCTGACTGGGCTCTTACAAGTTTTGCAGGAGGGAGGATGGACAGACAGCTCTTGTGCAATTAACTAGCATTCTCGTCATCCCTTTAAACACAGGACAATTATATCACTATCCATTGTCTACACCATCGGCCAAGCAGTCATCTCAGTGAGCTCCATTCATGACCTCACAGACCACAACCATGACGGAACCCCCGACAGCATTTCTGTGCACGTGTGAGTCGATGTTTCTGCTGCCCCTCGCCCCAGTTGCTCATTTGGTACTCTGATACTTTATCTTGTTCCTTGAATGTCCCCATGAGAGCATGGAGGCTTCTCTCTCTCCCTCAACAGTGGCACAGAGGAGGTTGTTTAATGGACTCAGAGTTGGGTCTTCACACCATCCTGCTGGTTGCTCGCTTTGACTTGGCTATCTTGTCATGACATCCCACTGGGTGGATGGTCTGTGGCATCATCTTGGGCTTGCCTAAAAGGACATCTCCTGTAGACTTGCTCCTCAACACCTTCAGGTTCTTTATGCCTTGGGACCATTGCTTTCTCCTCTGTAGCCTACATCTGCTTATTTTTCAGTAATACAGTTGCAAAAACCTTTGTCCTGGCTACCTATTCTGGACTCTTGATGGCCAGTGGTATGGACAAGTGCTCCTCACTGGGTTAACTCCCCTTCCCTGCATTCTGGCCTGGTGGCTTATTGTAAGGATTGATTTCGTCTTCTGTTTGTGCTTCATTCGGCTCCTTGATCTAGGAGTAGACCATGAGCTGGTAAATGTGGCTGAAAATCAAGTTTCTATTCACATTACTCATGGGTCTAGCTTCCTGGTTGATCAGATTTCTGTCCAGATGAGGGTTGTTGATGCTTTACCCATGGTACCCATGAAGCCACGTGGGTGAGCAGAGCATCTATGAGCACATCAGGCAGCTCAGAAGGCCAGCATCTCCCACAGAACAGCAAGGTGACCTTGGGCAAACTGTCTTCTTATGAATGTGGACTTAGAGCCGGGTGCCAGTAGCCTGCAATCCTAGCTTCTTAGGAGGCTGACATTGGGAAGATATTGGTTCCAGGCCAGCCTAAGCAAAAAGTTCATGAGACCCTCATCTTAACCAATAGCTGATGCAATGGTGTTCACCTGTCATTCCAGGTACAGTGGGAAGTGTAACATAGGTGTCCAGTTGGCCCAAACAAAGCAAACCCTTTCTCTAAAAAACCAGAGCAATAGGGCTAGAGGCCTGGCTTAAGAAGTAAGCACTTGCCTGGCAATCATAAAGTCCTGATTCAGACCCCAGTACCATCAAAAAAGAAAAAAAAATAGACATAAGGACTTGGGGATAGGCCAGGTTTTAATACTGGCTGGGTCAAGTTATGTGATCTTGAGCAAGTATGTGCCTCAGTTTCCTCACTCATAGTAGCACCCACCTCAACTGCAGGTTAATCCAAGAAGAGCACCCAGGGCACAGTCTGGTGAGGGACGGCTGTTCAAAACTGCCTATTTTTATTTCCTGGAGTGGGTGTGGGAACATGCCTACAATCCTAACAAGAGTGAATGGTACACAGTGTTCAATTGACCAGGTTTTTGCTGCCTTTAAAATGCTTTGAGTGGGTGACTTCAAACGCAAGTCATATTAAAAGGAGCTTTGGCTAGCGAGCACAGGAAGATTGGTGCAGGAAGTCTGATTTTTAAAGAATTCTTTCTCTGTGTGATCTCTGCCTTGACTGTAACCTGTTTTATAATATTTCTAGTATCTTTAAGTAACATTAGCAATCAAAAAGTTATTAGATAAAGGCTTGTAAAACTTGACGTTTGTAGTACCAAGCTGTAAATGTAATAAAGATACAAAATGAAGGCTGGTAAATGCTATTCCACCCAATAATCTGGAAAATACAAAAGTAAGTTAAGATAAAATAACTCTTAGTTCCATCCCCCGGTCATAACCATGAATCTTTGGCTCTATTTTGCTCCAGTCTTCTGTACTTCATAAACAAATTAATATCCTACCACATAATATGTTATTCTGCTTTGCATGAGTAGCTAGTTGAGTCCATTTTGACTGTACTAGACACAAGGCCTCTATTTGTTCGATGGACATTTTCTCCTGCATGTGCACTTACACGCTGGGGACTGAACCAGGGCCTGCACGCATTCTCCTGCCGAGCTCCACTCCAGCACCTTAAGTAACATTGCACTTTCCCCTTCTTTTACCGGAAATGATAAGACCACAGAGGAACTTCACACATAAGTCCCATCCAGATGTCATGCCATTGCTTTCAGCTTTCTAAAGACCCTGGGGTCCAAGTTCTCATCCAGCTCTTAGGCCGCAGTCCCGTGAACCATCTTCATAGCAAGGTTAAGCCCTTTCCTGTGTTCAACCCTGTGCCTAGTCTAAGAGAAGTTAGGCACAGGCTTCTGCTTCTGGGGACTCAACCACCTTGGCCCTAACCCACACCTTTCCCCAGGGTGCTGTCCATGATCGGCCTGGTCCTGATAGCTCTCGGAACAGGAGGAATCAAGCCCTGTGTGTCAGCATTTGGTGGTGATCAGTTTGAAGAGGGCCAGGTAAGAGCATGTCTCTCCAGGATCCACACAATGACATGCAGCCATCCAAGACTCAAACTCCATGGACCCTAACCCTGCTCATCTATTCTTGTCAAGTACACTTGAAAGTAAGATGCCACCTGGAACTAAGTCACAAGTGAGATCTGACATGCGCTCCACCTGCTCCCACCATATCTAGCCCACAGACAGGTGATGCCTAACTGTCCTTTCCATGACAGGAAAAACGAAGAAACAGATTTTTTTCCATCTTTTATTTGGCCATAAATGCTGGAAGTTTGCTATCTACAATCATCACTCCTATCCTCAGAGGTAAGGAATGTCTGAAAGGGACTTCCATTTTCCCTCTTTAACCTGTGAAGAACAAAGTCAGTAAAAGGCTAAGCCCTTGTCTCGTTTTTGCTTTGTGTCTCCTCTTCCTCAACAGTTCGGCTATCACATGTGCTGAGACATCCATAGAGGTCTAGAAGATGAGCTACTTTCCTTTCATGTTTTACCCCCTTGTCTGATCTTATTCCAGGGAACGCTCAAGAGTCTGAAACACCCTTTGCACAGGCATCAGTTTTTAGAATCACACAGTCCTTATTCATGGTGAAAGACAGGAGTGGAGATGGGTGTTGGGAACAACGTGGTTGTTCAATTCAGGCTTCAAGCTTTGCTCCCCAGGGATGTCTCAGTACATTTGGAAGACTTCAGCGGGCAAGATGCTGTCCTTTGCTTTCTTGTCATCGTGGGTATTTTTGAAAGAAATACCCAGAGACAGATGCTGACAGCAGAGACTGATAGCAATAACTCTCTCAACAACCATCTTTGTGCTGCTCATGTGCCATTGAGAATTAGTGAATTTCCCATGTAGAGAGGGATACTTGGTATTATCTAGAACAAAGTAACAAAACCATGGTGCCGACAGTTGACCCAGATTAAATTACGGAATATTCTGTAGGAATTTGTGTGTTTCTGCTTAGAAGACTAGTTTGAAGATGACAGACACTTAAACACCATTTTGACTTGTTTTGTATACAAATTGAACAGATTCTATTCTGTTTTTTTCTTTTAGCTGTACTGAGGCTTGAACTCAGGGCCTTACACTGGCTGGGCAGGTGTCTGTTGCTTGAGCTATCCCCCCAGCCCTTTTTGCTTTAGTTATTTTTCAGACAGTGTCTTATGCTTTTGCCTTAGGACTGGCCTTGGACCGAGATCCTCCTATCTCTGCCTCCCAAGTAGCTGGGATTACAAGCATGAACAATCTAAAACACCTGGCAGTTTTTGCTCTTTTAGGGGAGGTGGGAATTATTTTTGCATTGCTATGAATAGAAATCACTTGAATGACTATCACTTTCCTACTAGTTAATGTCTTTATGTGTGGAATTATGAAATAGTTTGTCAAAGACAACATTCCTGTAGGGTCAGATCATTCTTGGAGGCTCCTGCACCCCACTGAAAGGATTTCCAATAATCTCTGTTGCCTTAATGGTTTGTTTTCTTTCTTTCTTTTTTCTTTTTCTTCCTTCTTTTTCTTTCTTTCCTTCCTTCCTCCTTCTTCTTCTTTGTGGTTCTAGGGTTTGAACTTAGGACCTCATGCTTGCTAGGTAGGTACTCTACCACTTAAACCATCTCCCCAGCCTACCTTAATGGTTTTCCTTACCAATCTTAGGATTTCAGACCTAAAATAGCCTTCTGTCACAGGGTAACACACTGTGACTGATGGGCCAAATCCAGAAACACTGAACACAGCCGTTCATTTAGGTCTAACTGCTTTCTCCTTACAAAGACAGTTGATGAGTTATGACAGACACAAAATGATCCCCAGAGTATAACATACTTACTATCTGGTCCTTCACATAAAATTTTGTCAACCTCTGCCCTAGGTCATCTGTTACCTAGCTAGCAGAAATGCAGGATCATACAATACTGACTTTCCAGGGCATTTTTGCTTTAATTTATTGTGTCCCATGTATTCAAGTCATTGTATCCAGGTCATATTTGTCTCCCTAACTTAGCTAATCCACAGAACTGATTTGGACCTACCCGAGGTCGCAGGTGTTAGGGTCTGAAATCGGAACTTGTCTCTATCCTTCTCTTTCTACTACAATGATTCCTTGCTCAGCTGGTGATGACATCGTTAAGGCAAATGGAAACATCTAGAACATTAAGTTGAAGCAATGCCTAGTGATCGGTGAGGGACTTTTAGAAATGGGAACTATGTGTGCATCACCAATGACAGTGCATTTTAATCTTGTCATTTCTCCCCAGTTCAACAATGTGGAATTCACAGTCAACAAGCTTGTTACCCACTGGCCTTTGGGGTTCCTGCTGCTCTCATGGCTGTATCCCTAAGTAAGTAAAAATTAGCCAAATTAACACAAGCCTATGACTACGCCAGGCCCTATATTAGTTATATGACTAATAGTTTAGAACCCAGGTACCAAGGTAACAGAAAGTAGAGTGAAGGTTTGCCGTCAGATCCAGCATGTTGGCTCCAAGGGAGAATTGTTGACCTGCCATTTCAGAGGGAAGAGGTTCAGAAAAGGGCTTCCAGGAAAGTGAACCAACTGAGTGGGATATTGAAAGGTTTGGTTCCATTTAGGCAGATGGAAGTGAAGATGATAGAATCTTCTAGACCAGTTGCACACATGGTTAAAAATCTGTTCTTGTCAATGTGTGCTTATCTACAGCTTGCTTGAAAAAAAATGGTGACCTGGTTCAATTGCCAGTGAAACACTTCCAGTGAACATCTATATTTCTGTAATTTATCACCCAAAATGTTCCTATTAGACCCCTTCCCTCTGGAAGGAACATAGGTGTACATAGATGCGTCGATTTGCTCATTATTGGCACTGGCTTTTAGGAAATAGGAGGAGCCCCATGGTGTGGTCTGACTTAAAGATGGTAATAATACAAGAGGGACACAGCCAATGGCCATCGTAAATCTGCAGGGCCTCTTCTCCTCTAAGGAGAGGGCCTTGGCGATGGCATAGCTTTCTCCACTTTTTGTTTTCATAGCTTGCTGGGATTCAGTTGGCCTAGTTTTCACCTCTTTTACTCCTATGGTAGTAATTTTTCTTTATTGTCACATTCATGTGAGAGCCCAGTCTCCTCTTTTCTTCCATAACTTGCAAAAAGTGCCAGGTTCCCCTCACAGATTCTCCTCATTTAGGCTTCTGGGCAGGAGACAGCATTTGGAAAGGGCTTGTTTATACCAGACACTAAGCACTCTAGGTAAATTCTCCATTAGTCCTTATGAGTCATGAATGGAAGATGACGCTTTTTCTATGGAAGAATTGAGAACACGTATACGTGTTCTTAATGTATACACCAACATCACCTCTAGAAACTTCTATGCTTGAATCAGGCTTCAGTTTATCAAAAGCTTAACAATTAAAATAGTTGGTAAAAGGAAGGAAGCCTCAATCCATTGGACAGCTTTGCCATCCATGTCTGTGAGGAGGAAGGTTGGCGCTGGGTAGGAACACAGGTGAACGCCTTGCCTGTCTTCCATTAAGGACACCGGTAAGACAGGCACACACCTGCAGAGTTGCTTGAGCGTTAGCTCCCGTCAAAACCTCAGGCCTTCTTAATTGAGGAGAGCAAGTAAAATTCAAGCAATCTCTTGGTACTTTCTAGTTACTGAATTTTGGTATTGGATAATCAGGAGTCGTTCCATGGGGACTATGTTTTTGGAGCCTCTTGCAAAAGCACTATTTTCTAGGTTATTTTCATAATATGCCTTTTGCTAGGATACCCCAAGGAAGAACAGCCTCACTGAGAATCTGCTTCTGCCTAATTACACATGCAATTCATTGTAAGCATGCCTCTGCACAGTGACCACAGGAAAAATTCTGCCACATATGATTAAAGTTTTAATGGAGTAACTCTTCTTTCCTGAATACTTAAAAAAGGAAGAATGATAAGAATAAATTTTTTTGCCACTGTACCCTATTAAAGCTATGTTTATTGTCTTTGCCAAAAAATGTATTAATCTGAGATGTGAACACACTTTCACCCTGTGTCCCCTTGGGTGTTTCGTATGTGTTCTGTTTGGTTCGGAGACACTGGGGACCAAACTCAGGGCCTCATGCTTGCTACGCAAGTGTTTACCTCTTAAGCCACCCCTAGTCCTTTAGCTTTCAGTTCATTTTTCAGACAGGTTCTCTCTCTCACTTTTGCCCAGGCCAGCCTGGTGTCCGCCTGTCTGTGCCTCCCACACAGCTGGAACCACAGGTTTGCACAAGTATGACTGGCTTGTTTTTAAGATAGAGTCTCACTCATTTTTTGTCTGGACCAACCTCAAACTGAGATCCTCCTGTCTCTGTGTCCTGAATAGCTGGAATTCCAGCTTAGATAGCTGTGCAGGGTGTCGAGCCGGGTACGGGTTCTGAGAAGCTGCTCGGTGGTGCTAGGCTTTCGTGGCTGCATATCAGAGCACAAACATAATCTTATAGCCAAGCGTCAGTGATGGTTAGGACCCAAAGCGCTTCCTCGACTGCGGTAAGTAGTTCGGTTATTCTGAAGATGATCAAGTGATTTCCAAGTGAGGTTATAACCCAAGTGAAAACCCAGCTCTCGGGCTGCAGGTGGCTCCGGTCAGTGCCACAGTAACGCATCTCCTTCCACCCCGTCCAGTTGTATTTATCGCTGGCAGTGGAATGTACAAGAAGTTCCAGCCACAGGGCAACATCATGGCAAAAGTGGTCAAGTGCATTGGCGTAAGTACTTCTGGAACGTTCTCTCAATGACACTGGGTCACCCCAGAATCGCCTTTCAACTAAATTTCAGTGAAACTTTGACTTTCCTTTCAACACATTTTCAATCTTCTCAACTATTTTGATGAATTTTAATTTAAACTATTAACTTCTTATAAAACTCACCAGGTGGAAAAGCACACGAACAGGGTGTAAAAAGAAAGAAATAGAAATGACTTTTGAGCTAAAGGTCAAGGGTCAAAGACAAGAAAATCAAAGCGACTCTTCATCTATCAAATTAGCAGGCAAGGCTTGATGCTTTTTCAGGGGGCAGTGACACAAAAATGGGGAGACCGGGTTTGACATTGTATGTCAAGGGTACTCACGATTGCAGTTCAAAGCCAGCCCAGACAAAAGTTAGTGAGATCCCCATCTCAAAACAAGCACGAACTGGCAGAGTGGCTCAAGTGGTAGAGCACCTGCCTAGCAATTGTGAGGCCCTGAGTTCAAACCCCAGCACCATGAAAAAGCACATCATGGTGGCTCATACCTGTAATCCTAGCTACTCAGGAAGTGGAGATAGGAGAAGCATGGTCCCAGCCTGGGCAAAAGTGTGAGACCTGATCTGAAAAAGAAACTAGAAGCGAAAGGACTGGTGTCTGCCAAAAAAAAAAAAAATGTTCTCAAGCACTGAGAGTCAGAAATGACTTAGAAAATAAAGCTAAAAAATAATTTTTACAATGAACAGATTCACCTACTGAGAATATCATTATACTATTTATATCAGCAAAAATTTAAGTCCACACAATTACTAAAAATAGAGAAATGATAATTGAATCACAGTCCGCCTCTGGCATCATAGGGAGCCAGCAGCAGTCTTGTTTTCAAAGAACACCTGACAACAGGAATAGAGTTTGGTTTAATTTCCGTATGCATCTGCCTGAGGTGCATCAGTGCAGGTTCGTGTAGGCAGGAAGTAAAGGATGACGGGAGTCTGAGACCGTGGAATCCAATAATTTTTCTCTTTTTTATAGTCACATAACCAGGGGAAGAGTACCATTTATTATCTTTAATATATGAATAATCTCTTGGCTGAAATGCAGCCTTCAGATGACTTTCAGTCCCCAGTTGTCTCTTTACCTGGCCTATGGCATTAGATCACATGGTATATGTCACTTGTACCTCTCCTGGTCACAAAACATTCATTCAGTGCAGCTTTCCTACATCTAGTCCTACCAAAAAGTTTTCTCTAAGGATCAGCAGAGTGGCTCAAGCAGCAAGAATGCCTGCCCAGCAAGTGTGAGGCCCTGAGTTCAAACCCCAAAGAAACAAAATGATGGGCTGGGCGTGGTGGTGCACACCGGTAGTAACTACTCGGGAGGCTGAGGCAGGAGGATCACTTGAGTCCAGAAGTTCTGGGCTGCAGGCTGCCACGCTGATCAGGTGTCTGCCCTAAGTTTGGCATCAATATGGTGACCTCCCAGGAGTGGGGACCACCAGGTTGCCTGAGGAGCAGTAAACCAGCCCAGGTCAAGAGGGAAAAAAAATTGCAAAAAGTTTTCTCCAAAGAAAAATACGGGACCTTACCAACCATCTATCAAAATCCTTTCTTAGCAAGCAATTGACAGCTGAGTTCAAGCTGTAAGATCAACCTCAAGCTACATTGGTCATAAGAACTGTGTTGACTGGTACCTAAAGTCAACCAATGACATTGAGGAGTCATTGCCTTATGGTCCCACACACGTCCCCAGCTGCCACCCCATTACGTCCTCTTGTTGCTATGTCGTTCCAAGTGCACTTTGCTTTTCCAAACCACTTCTCCCAAACAACACTAATAATGAATCCTTGTGGCCTCTTGTTTTGGGATGAGTGAGTCAACATATTTTTCTGATCAGTGTCACCTCTGTTAAAATATGTTCAACCTTAGCTTTTATTTTTTGGTGCCAGGGACGGAACTCAGGTCCTCCACATGGTAGGCAATCGCCCCAGCAGCCACACCCCCACTCCACTTTTATTTCCTTATAAATTATTTCTGTTGTAGTGGGTTTTCAATCTTAAACTTTTTAAAACAATGCTCAAGTTAGTCATTGGAAAATTTTTCAATATATTTGGAACAATCTAGTGTGTAAGCCTAATTCTTCAAGCAGAAACATTACAAAATCTAAATATAAATCATATATTTCTGATAAAAAGCTAGCAACCAAAGACATAAATGAAATATAATCCATGGATTTTGAAGACTCAGTATGAGAAAGAGAATGTAAAAATCTGCATTAATTTTAATAGAGTACATATTTAGCTTATATTGGGGATTTAGTAAGTGAAATAAAATATGTTTAAAATGAATCCCAGGACTGGGTGTGATGGTGTATGTCTATAATCCCAGTTCTCAGAAGGTGGAAGCAAGGAGGATCATGAGTTCAAGGCTAGTCTGGGCTACATAGTGAGACACAGCCTCAACAAAACAAAACAAAAATGAATTTCACCTGTTCACTTTTACTTGTTAATTTGCCTACTGCGAAACTTGAATTGCAAACTTGCCTTGCTTTGTTTCCATTGGACACGGTTTTCTAGAGGACCTAAAGAGTGAAGTGGTGACAGTGTGGCTCTGTTTACCCTAGTTCAGACATCAAAATTGGACCGGACTGCAGTCAAATGCATTGGTTATGCCTGTCAGCACGCTCGTTATGCGAGCATACACAAATGAAAATTTTGTTTTTCACACGTAATTTTCATTAAAGGGTATTTAATGGAAATGCCTTTCCCTGATGAAGTAGCTGGTTCTGTTTGAAATTTCATTTTTCTTTCTTCCTTCAGTTTGCCAATTTCATTTTTCTTTCTTCCTTCAGTTTGCCGTCAAAAACAGGTTTAGGCATCGGAGTAAGGAATTTCCCAAGAGGGAGCACTGGCTGGACTGGGCTAAAGAGAGATACGATGTAAGTAACCGGGCTTGCTACCATGTCCTGTTTCCTCCAGAAGGGATATGTAAAATAACAACGCAGCCGGGCACAGTGGTTCATGCCTGTAATCCTAGCTAGTAGGGAGGCTGAGATCAGCAGGATCATGGTTCAAGGCTAGCCTGGGCAAGTAGTTCAAGAGATCCCCATCTCCAAAATAACCAGAGCAAAATAGACTGGTTTTTGTTTGGTGTAATCTGCCATTATGTAATTATGATTATATAACTTCCACTTGAATATAGAAGAGCTAAGCGGTGGTGGTGTTGGTGGAGGGATTTACATCCAGTGGAATTTACATTTTGCAAATTAGAGTAATTGACCTCCTAGAAAGATGTTTTTGCTCATATTTTCAACAGCTTAGAAATTTTCAGTTTTCTAAAGGAGCCTTTGGTGGTGTTCTTTGGGACCGTTAATCTCCCAGTTTGTCCCTGAATCTAAAGATTTCCACAGTGGAAGGCAGCAGGCCGGAGTCCTGTAGTGACTCCAGGCTGGCTGACTCATCTCTTCCTGCAGGAGCGGCTCATCTCTCAAATCAAGATGGTGACCAGGGTGATGTTCCTATATATTCCACTCCCCATGTTCTGGGCCTTGTTTGATCAGCAGGTAAGGTTTCTGCAAATCTTCGATTAGCAAACATTTGGGGACATTACCATGTAGCAAGCCATCATGAGCAGTCAGCTCCTTAGGAAAAAAAGTTGCATTTGTGTATTTCACTTATTTGTTAGAGCACACTGAGTTTATTGGGTAAGAAGAAATTCTACAAGCTTCTTTGCACATTTCTGTTGCAAACCAATGAGGAAAAAGAGGTGTGGTAAGTAGGGTAACCTTGGGGAAGAGTTCATCAGAGCACCCAGGACTCCTGCCAATCAAAACTGAAGGCAGGTTTGTTGTCCTTACTGACCCAGCGGGGTCAAAAGGTAGATGGCCTTTGATGGGATCGTGGGATATCTGAACTGAGAGGAGCTTGATGTCTTTTTTCATGTGTATTTTTATATAAATTTTTATTAGGATATATTCATTGTACAGGGGGGATTCATAGTGACAATTCCAAACAGGTTTATATTGTACATTGTTTAGATCACCCCCCACTCCCCTCAACTTCCTCCCCACCCCCACTTAAAGCACTTGCAAGCACTTTCTTTGTTCTATGTTATGTAAGTATATGAAGTCCGTTAACCATACCTTAATCTCCTTCCTTCCCCCTCCCCCTCCCACTAATACCCCCCACACTGTACTGTTATACAGTCCTGTCTTGTGTTATTAATATTTAAGACAATGTCAATACACCAAAGTCATTCCTCTCAGACAAGACGGGTGACTTGCCACCTCGCTCTTTCCCTCACAGCTGTAAGACACATACAGAATTCTTGCACCCTGACGTCAAACACTCAGTGTGTGATGCTTAGGACTCAACTGAAGTTTAAAAAGCGTGTGGGGCGCTAAGATTCCACCTCACCGCTGTTAGAACAGCCATCATCAGCAACACCACTAACAACAGGTGTTGGCGAGGATGCGGGGAAAAAGGAACCCTCTTACACTGTTGGTGGGAATGTAGACTAGTACAACCACTCTGGAAAAAAATTTGGAGGCTACTTAAAAAGCTAGACATTGATCTACCATTTGATCCAGCAATACTACTCTTGGGGATATACCCAAAAGACTGTTACTCCAGAGGCACCTGCACACCCATGTTTATTGTGGCACCATTCACAATAGCCAAGTTATGGAAACAGCCAAGATGCCCCACCACTGACGAATGGATTAAGAAAATGTGGTATCTATACACAATGGAATTTTATGCAGCCATGAAGAAGAACGAAGTGTTATCATTCGCTGGTAAATGGATGGAATTGGAGAACATCATTCTGAGTGAGGTTAGCCTGGCCCAAAAGATCAAAAATCATATGTTCTCCCTCATATGCGGACATTAGGTCAAAGGCAAACACAACAAGGGAATTGGACTTTGAGCACATGATAAAAGCGAGAACACACAAGGGAGATATGAGGATAGGTAAGACACCTAAAAAATTAGCTAGCATTTGTTGCCCTTAACGCAGAGAAACTAAAGCAGATACCTTAAAAGCAACTGAGGCCAATAGGAAAAGGGGACCAGGAACTAGAGAAAAGGTGAGATCAAAAAGAATTAACCTAGAAAGTAACACACACGCACAGGAAATGAATGTGAGTCAGCTCCCTGTATAGCTATCCTTATCTCAACTAGCAAAAGCCCTTGTTCCTTCCTATTATGGCTTATATACTCTCTCTTCAACAAAATTAGAGATAAGGGCAAAATAGTTTCTGCTGGGTAGTGAGGGGGCTGGGGGAAAGGGAGGAAGTAAGGAGGTAAGGAGGCAGGGGGAAGGGGGGAGAAATGACCCAAACATTGTATGCACATATAAATAAAAGAAAACAAAATGTGTGGGGACTAGAGGTGTGGCTCAAGCAGTAGAGTATCTGCTTTGCAAACATGAAGCCCTGAGTTCAAAACCCAGTCCCCACCAAAATAAATAAATAAACTAAACTGGCATAAGGTCAATTCCTTAGGGCTGACAGAGTGGCTCAAGTGATAGAGCACCTGCCTAGCAAGCATGAGGCCCCAAGTTCAAAGCCCAGTACCACCAAAAACAAATAATAATTTCCTAGGGCTGGCAGAGTATCTCAAGTGGTAAGAATGCCTGCCTAGCAAGAGTAAAAACCTGAGTTCAAACTCCAGTGCTGCCAAAAAAAAAAATAATAATAATAATTTCCTAAAAATAATTATGAGCACATGTGTTATTGTTGCATAGGGAGAATTGTTGCTCCGGTAAATCGTCCCTTGAAGAGCATTTGACATACACGTTAATCTCTTTATTTGTAAACATGAGATTTAAACCTCAGAAAGACCAGGGAAGCAGCCTTGCCTGTTGGCTAGGAGCTTACTGGACTCAGACATGCACTACAAATACACCCATCACCTGGGTGGCTAAGAACTCTTAACGTCTGTGTATAAGTCATAACCACATTGCGGATCAAACTGGAGATTTTACATACAGTACTCAGAGACTGGTGTACACTAAAAACTCAGACAGGGACAGATCCCCTGGCTTCCGATGACGTCCTCCCAGAGGAACTGACAGATTCATGTGGGAACATTGTGCCTCGCCTTCCATGCAAATTTATAGTCATCCTCCACTATAAAATAGATTGATATAACTAGGCTGCCCAGATGTAAAGCCTCCACTCTTTAAAAAAAAATTTTATCATATTATTGTTGTATTGGGAATACATTGTGACATTTACAGAAGTTCTTACAGGGCTGGAGGCAGGGCTCCATAGGCAGAATGCCTGCCTAGCAAGTGTGAGGCCTTGAGTTCAAACCCCAGGACTGCCAAGAATGAACAAACAAAAAAAGTTCTTACATTATATCATAGTTGAATTCACCCCCTCCGTCATTCTCCTTTATCTCCTCCCCCCATTCCTGGAATAGTTTCTACAGATCTCATTTTTCCATTTTCATACATGAGTACCCAATATTTCTACCATCTTCACCCTCCCACACCCTTCCTTATGTCCTCCCCTCTCCCATTGGTACCAAACCCCCAGACAGGACCTGTTTTGCCTTCCTGTTCTCTGTTTTTGTTTTGTTTTGTTTTAAAAAGACATTTTTGTTTGTTTAAGAGAGCTACACAGGGAGTTTCCTTGTGACATTTCCATGTATATATATTATAACCCAAATTGGTTCATCCCCTCTATTTTTCTCCTTTCTACCTTAGTCCCCTTCTTATGGTAGTTTTAACAGGTTTAAAAATTCTATATTCATTCTTGTATAGAGAGTACACCAACCATATTCACCTTCTTAACTTCCTTCTTTTACCCTCCCTCTCTGGTTAGTGACTTCCCCTTAACGTGACGTTTTTCATAATATTGCCTGTATTTGTACTGGACCTATATTCCACATATGAGAGAAAACATGTGACCTGTAAGCCTCTCTCTTGATAGGTCCATTTAACCCCCCCTAGACTGTCAAAGATGACTCCCCACAATCATGGTGTGCTGGTCCCGGAGGCCAGCAAATGTGGGCTGGGCTCAGTGCACACGGCTGCATTCTCCCTGCATTCACCCTGCAGGTGTCGTGCGTCCTAACAGCTCAGCAATGTGCCTTTGCCTCTCCTAAGGACAGCCCATCTCAGAGCAGGACGTTGGGCCTCCTCCCGAGAGGCTGGGGCTCTGTACACTGGGTCTCCTTGATCCACAGAAACGCACTGCTTTCTTTCTCCCTCGTATGGTAACGGACTTGGGAGGCCAAGTTGATGTTTAAGACAGCTTTGCATCCCATGACATGTCAGGCCTCTCTCCTGGTTTAGAAACTCATCAACAGTGGCCTGTAAAAAATTAAAAGCATGTTCCCTAATAAAGCCATGGGTGTATTTATCTTTAAGGGCTCCAGATGGACACTGCAAGCAACAACCATGACTGGGAGATTTGTAAGTTTGGGACATCTGGCTGACTCACCTTCCCTGCTCCCTACTACTCTGTTTTAGTCCCTTTGTCTGTCTTCTCCTTTCTTTTCTTGACACTTTTCAGTGAGATTTTTCTTCTCTTTCTAGGGAGCTATTGAAATTCAGCCGGATCAGATGCAGGTAGGAAAAATATTGATGTGGCTTTGGGACGCCCATGCCCACCTTGACATGGCACAAACGTCTTCTCTCTGCTTTACCTGCAGACTGTGAACGCCATCTTGATCGTAATCATGGTCCCCATCGTAGACGCTGTGGCATACCCTCTGATTGCAAAATGTGGCCTCAATTTCACGTAGGTGGCCAGATGGTTTGGGTTGATTGAGGCACTGTTGGTCCAGGGCTGTAGTCGGTCTGTGACCCCCCCCCCACACCACCCCCTAGATGATGGAGTTTTTAAGAAAATGGATTAAAGAGATGCTTGTATGCCAAAGTTTCTGGAAATATCCTTTAGAATAAAAATACTATTACAGCAGCTTGAAAAAGCCTCAAATTCCGCTCTCCTATGGAGGATTTCCTGAACCATAGTTTCTAGAAATTAAATGCAAAAATGTAAATGAGAAGCTATATTCTCTGGTCCTCCTTTTTCTCGTTCATAGTCGTGAATAACAGGGAGAGACATTTCCCAGCTCATGGGTCTCTGTCGGGAAGTTAGTTTTGTTTGTTTGGGGGGATGAGGGGGGAGGTGTGTGTCCATAGCTCATCCTGTAAGGGGCTAAGGGTCACTTTCTTCTTGTCCCCATCAGCTCCCTGAAGAAGATGACAGTTGGAATGTTCCTGGCTTCCATGGCCTTTGTGGCTGCTGGAATTGTGCAGGTGGAAATTGATGTGAGTTTTCGCTGAGTCTCCAGCTCCCTTTCCCTGTGGGTTTAAGGGGCTCGCTCAGAATCTTCTTTCTCCAGGACTGAGAGGATTTTTGGAAGCCCGGGGCTCTCCCTCTATGCAGGATGAGGCCCTGGAGCTACGGATGTGGAGGAAATGGTCAAAATCGTCCCTTCAGTTAGTGTTGGTGCACTCTGATGGTCTCTCCACAGGGAAGAGGGTGAGTGGGTGGGCTTCATTAGAAGGGGAGGTTGCATGCATAGCTCCCACTGGTGATGCAGGGGCAGTGGGATACGCTTCTGCAACTTGTTCTTTTGCAAGCTGAAATCTTTGAAGATCTCTGGTTAAGAGAAGTTCACCATTCACAAACAAGCAGCACTATAAAAACTTATAAATTCTTGAGATCGTGGCTCAAGCCTGTGATACAACTTCTGGGGAGGCAGAGATAAGGAGGATTGTGGTTCAGGGCAAAAAGTTAGTGAGCCCCCATCTCCATGAACAAGCCAGGTGTGGTGGTCACATCTGTGGTCCCAGATATGAAGGAGGCATAGATAGGAAGACTGTGGTCTAAGATCAGCTGGGCAAAAAACCATGAAACTCTACCTGAAAAATAACTAAAGCAAAAAAAAGAAAGAAAGAAAGAAAAAGACTGATGGTGTGGCAGAGCCTGCCTATCAAGCACGAGGCTCTGAGTTCAAACCCTAGGATCACCAAAAAAAAGTGTAAAACACATTTAAGATTCAAGTAATGGTTAGTTCCTAGGCTAACCTGCACAGCTGTGCCTGCTGATGCCATTAGCCTGAGATCAGGCATTGTGTGGTGTAAAAACTAGAGTGAGGCAAGTGCTTCTCTCTCTCTCTCTCTCTCTCTCTCTCTCAGACACACACACACACATACACACACACACACAACTGTCTTGGTGTATGTATGTCTCCATGTCTCCTCCACGTTTCTCTTTCAATTTCTTTAATTTTTTTTGAACCCAGGACCTTGCCACTAAATTTTTTAATTGTGGTAAATATACATAACATAAAATTGGCCATCTTAACCATTTTAAGGCGTCCAGTTCAGTGGTGTGTGGCCATCACCACGGTTGACCTCCAGAACTTCTTACCTTCCCCACCCGAACCTCTGTACCATTACACAGTAACTCCCAGCCACTGGCAACCCCATTCTACTTGCTGTCTCTAAGAATTTGACTACTCCAGATACGTCATGCAAGTGGATTCATGGAAAATGTGTCCTGTGATTGGCTTGTTTTACTCACCATAATGTCCTCAAGGTTCATCCACATGGATGAACATGTTACCACAGGTAACAGGATTCCCTTCCTTTTCAAGGCTGAGTAATATTCCATTTTATGCAGACACCACGTTATGTGTTGATGGACTCTTGCGTTGCTTCCACTTCTTGGGTCCTGTGAGCAATGCTGTCATGAGCATGGTGCACTGGCTCCCTCCTGTGAATAGCTGGCTTGGTGGAAGTGAATTGTGGGTTACAGTAGACTTGGATTGCTCCAGTGGCCCCGAATTTGAAGGAGCATTGTAGAAAACAGACAAGAATGGTAGCACCTGTGCAGAGGCACAAAGACATAAAACATTTGTGAGATGGTTAAAGATTCATGCTCAGAGACGAGAAGGGGGCTTCCAGGGAAGGACATGACTTCATAACCTAGCTCCGTTGACCTGGAGGGGCTCTTTCTCTCTCGATTGCTGTGTAACCTTTTCTCTGGTGACCATGAGGTAAGTTACATCACCAGTAGCCTTAATGGGAGTGTTTGTCACTCGCCAACCACTCAGCTTTGGATGGCTGGAGAAAAAGTGCTCCAGAGCCAAGATGACAATGACCTTCAGTGTCATACTGAAGTCCTCACTTTCAATTTTCTTTTCTTCGCTCAGAAAACTCTCCCGGTCTTCCCCCAAGGAAATCAAGTCCAAATTCAAGTCTTGAATATAGGAAATAGCAGCATGACCGTATATTTTCCTGAAGAGACAGTGACAGTTGACCAGTGGTCTCAAGTAAGTAGAAGTACGACCTCCCATCTTGCTGGCCTGATACCATAGCATTGAGAGGTGCTCCAGCCCGGGATTGTCTTGTCATGCTGGCTTCTATGTGAGCCTCCCACTGGACCCTGGTCACCTGGCGGCCTGTGGGAACGCAAGCTTTAATCAATAGGTCAGAGATGTCGCATATCTATGTGCTGCTACTGCTACAGGTCATCACATGTCAAACAGCAGGGAGGGCCAGTGTCCTGGTTGTGTTGTTGCATCTAGGAGTGTGCCATTGGTGTCTCCTATGCAGAAGGCACAGGCGCCGACAGACTTCCCTCCACAACAAAGAATTATCTGACCAAATGTTGTCCACAGCTCCAAGGTCAAAAAACCCTGCTGTAATGGTCACTGTTCTGGACTAGTCCTTCTTAACCTTCAGTCCCTATGGAAATCCCCTGGGGAGCTTTGAAGATTCTGATGCCTGGGTTCTAACCCAAAGATTTTGGTTCACTGCTGTCATTCCCATTTGTGGCTGGAACCTTGACTTTAGATCTTCCCAAACAAGGAACTTGAAGAGGGTTCAAAAAGTCTGACTCCTGATGCTTGGGGCAGCTTAGCACTGATTTTTACCCAAGCAGCTGCTTTTCCCTTGCTGCTGTTCTTTGTCCAATCATAGGAATAATTTCCATAAGATCTATTTTCATAAAGCAAAATAAAATTGAAAGGCTTGATGAAAAGTAGAATTCCTGTAGCTTCACGAGAGTGGGTGGGAGACTGAGATGAATATGTGCCAGTTCCCCACGAAGCATTTTTGATGTGTGCACATGATTTTGGAAATGTGGAATGTCAAATAACTTGCCGTCACAGCATCCAAAAGCACAGTGTAGAACCAGCCTCCGGTATTAACTGTGATTCCTTCCCCCATCTATAGACAGATGACTTTTTGACCATTGAGATAGACAGATTGAGAAGTATAAACATCTCTTCTCCTGGGTCATCTGTCACTGAAGTGAGTCACGAGTTCGAGCAGGGCCATCGCCACACCCTTCTAGTGTGGGCCCCCAGTGGCTACCGGGTGGTAAGTAGACAACACCTACAGCTGACCTTGCTACTGTCCTTCAGGACACATGGCTTCTTATTGGTGTGACTTGTTTTACTTCTATGTAGTGTTTATTGGATAATCCCCAATTTTTCCTTTCTTCATGAACATAGGTCATTTGACTTCCAGTAAAATTTGGTGGATGGAAAGAATTAGCATTGATTAAAATTTTTTAAAAATAACTAGCAATGTATAATGTGTGTGTACACGAGCACATGTACTCCCATGCGTGTGAGCATGCTTATGTATGCATGAGACTGGGTGTAAATCACACAGAGTACATAGGTGTATTCTCAGAGACTTTTGGAGGTAAGGTTTTAAATATATCTTTAATTATATTACTTTAAAATTTTTGCACTGAAGTAGAGCAGTCTCTGAAAAAATTTAGCAAGAGTATTAAATACAAGCAATAAAATACATACAAAACATGTGACAAAATGTAGACACCTAGACATTTAAATACACCATTCAGAACATAAGGAAGCCAGGCAGGGGTGGCTGAGCGAAATGAATTCACTGAGGACGTTCTGTCAGGGCAATCTGAGTGGTCATTTGCTTAATTAGGGAACCGGTGAGTGGCTAGGGGAATTGCTGTGGAGTAGGAGCCCTTGGAACCACTGGCAATCTAGGACCAAGAACAGTACAGGCTCAGGGCTGGTGGAGTGGCTCAAGTGGTAGAGCGCCTAGCAAGCACGAGGCCCTGAGTTCAGACCCCAGTCCCACCAAAAAACATTACAGAGACTCATATTGCCTGGAGGAAAAGCTCCTGAAGAAACAGGCTTCTCAGATGTGACAATCGTGCCCTTAGTTCTAGGGCAAGGGCCAACATTCCTGTCCTCAAAGGCTGAAAGGCTAAAGTGAACTTACTGTAATGAACTAGATATTAGAAATGTTTTCATATCACTATTTTCTCTCTCAGGTAAAGGATGGACTTAACAAGAAGCCAGAGAAAGGAGAAAATGGAATCAGGTATGAATATTTCTTTAAAACTTGTTATTAATATATGCTAATAAAAATGCTTTAAAATTAGAAAATAAATAAATACATAAAACTTAAATTATATCAGCTTCTGATGGAAGTAATGCATACCCAAATAAAGTCCAGCTGTATCAAGGTTATAAAATGAGAGATGGGGTTTGTGCTAAGAACGTAAGGCTGGTTCAGTATTAAAAAAATAATTAACCAATATAAATTATCATCTTAATGAAATAAAGAGGAAAATATATATATTTTTGGCACCAGTGGGATTTGAACTCAGCATCTCACACTTGCCAGGCAGACAGTCTACCTCCTGAGCCCTGCCCCTCCACCAGCCCTTTTTGCTTTAGTTATTTCTGGGATAAGGTCCCACGCTTATACTCAGGCTGGCCTGGATCCTATTTATGCTTCCTGCAAAACTGGAATGACAGGCAGGTGCCACCATGCCAGATTTTATTAGTTGAGATGGGATCTTGCCAACTTCCCCACCCTTCTCATGCTGGCCTGAAACCATGATCTTCCTGATATCTACTTCCTGAGTAGTTACAACTACAGGCATGAGCCACTGTATCCAGCTCTTACACATCTTATATGAAAATAAACTCAACCCCGATTATAGATTTACATGTAAATGTAAAACTATAAAGTTATTTTAAAAACATTTAAACTGAGGATGGTGGCAGACACCTGTAATCCCAGCATTTGGGGATTTTTTTGAGTCAAGAAGATGGTGTATTTAAGGTCAGCCTGGGTTTTATACACAGCAACTTACAGAACAGAATGGGCTTCATAGCCAGACCCTGTCTCAAAAAAAATCAAAAAGGAAGCAAAAAAAAGAATCATTTAAAACTCCTTGAACTTTGGTTTCTTAGATAATGACACCAAAAGCACAATTCATAAACTACATATCTGAGAAAGAGCTTGTATCCAGAATTATAAAATGCTCTCAAAACACTTCAGGATATTAGTGCAGGCAAACAGTTCCTGAATAGGACTCCTGCAGCTCAGGAAACAGAAACAAGAATTGATCGTCAGAATTATATTAAATTAAAAAGCTTCTGTACAGCAAGGAAGCAATCAACAGAGTGAAGGAACAGCCTCCAGATGAGGAGAAATTCTTTGGCACCTATACATCTGACAGAGGATTAATAACCAAAATACATAACGATCTCAAAAAAATCAGCAACAAACAGCAAGTAATCCATTCAACAAATGGAAATGATTGAAGCGAACCCTTCTCAAAAGAAGTACCAGGCTAGAGGCGTGGCTCAAGTGGCAGAGCGCCTGCCTCACAAGTGCAAAGTCCTGAGTTCAAACCCAAGTACCACCACCAAGAAAAAGTATCATTGGCCAATAAATATATGAAAAACTGCTCAATATCTTTATCCGTTGGGGAAATGCCAATCAAAATTACATCAGGCTTCCATCTCACCCTCATCAGAATGGGTAATATCAAAACAATACTGGCAAGAACGTGGAGGAAATAAACCTTTCTACACTGCTGGCAGGGTGTAAATTAGTGCAGCCATTATGGAAACAGTATCTCCCTTCTTGGTGGTTCTGGGGTTTGAACTCAGGGCCTCACGCTTGCTAGGCAGGCGCTCTACCACTTGAGCCACTCTCCCAGCCCTGAAAAGTAGTTTGGCAGTTTCTAATAAAGGAAAACACACACTTAACCCTACAAGCCAGCCCTTCCTCTCCTAGCTACTGACCCTAGAGAAATGCTAACTATGTTCGCATAAAAATCTATACATAGCCAGGTAGGCCAGAGCTACTTGTCATGGTGCATGGCTGGTGTGGGAGGCCAAAGCAGGTGGGTTGAGAGTTCAAGGCCAGCCTGGGCTACATAGTAAGACCTTCTCAAAAAAAAAAAAAAAAGAATTATGCACAAATGTTTATAGAAGGTCTATTCTTAGTCACCAAAGACTGGAAATCAATATAATTCCCTCCACGTGAGAAAGTAGTACAACCACACACTGGCATACTACTCAGCAAAAATGCCAACATTAAATGAAGTTCAAAATGCATTGTGCTGTGAAGAAGCAAGTATCAAGGCTACATAGTAAGACCTTCTCAAAAAAAAAAAAAAAAGAATTATGCACAAATGTTTATAGAAGGTCTATTCTTAGTCACCAAAGACTGGAAATCAATCAAATGTCCCTCCACGTGAGAAAGTAGTACAACCACACACTGGCATACTACTCAGCAAAAATGCCCAACATTAAATGAAGTTCAAATGCATTGTGCTGTGAAAGAAGCAAGTATCAAAAACTACATATGGCGTTATAAAATTCCACTCACATGGCAGGCTGGGAAAAAAACCTGCACAGACACGGACAGATCAGTGGTTGCTGGGGTTGGGAAAGGAGGAAGGGTGGCCGCAGGCACGTGGTGTTTGGGAGGGATCTGACTGTGACAGTACCTAGGAACCTAGGCCGTGTTAAATGCCCAGGAAGCCCACTGACTAGTCACCAATTTCGTGAGAGTGAATTGGCAGGAAAATAAGGGAAGGTCTTGTATTCCAGTGACTTTCACAGTATCTGACTGAAGCTTTTACTAGTGCTGAGTAGTAAATCACAAGTCATGGAGACTGAAGTACATTACTAGGACGTGGCTATTAATTTACGGATCTGAACGGTGAAGCAATTAACCTTTGCCTTCATCTCTCCTCACCTCTACTCTGCTTCCTGCCATTAATATTGGCTCTGCTTATCTTTGCTGTTTCCATGCACTAGGTTAGTCTAAAACACAGATCCATAAACAGGATTTATAATAGGACCATATAAATACTACTCACGGTATCAGCAAAGTGAGATGAGTTTGGAAGAGAAGAAATGTTATCTCCTTGAAAACGAAAATCTTCTGAAAGTCAAGGTGAACTGGAATCCTATTATAGTCCCTAGCAGGTCAGGGGTGCCCTGTCTTGGTGGTTTTGATTCGACCAAGGCTTTCATGCACAGGTTTGTTTTTCTGTAACCCAGTTGGCCTTGTGTCAATGAGAGCACTAGCCTTTGGCCAATTCCTAAGTCCGCAGCTCTTAGTGACACTGTCTGGAGGAAATCCAGGATCCTTTCTGAAAACCAACCATTGAGTGCTCTCTATGACCTCAGGCCAACTGCTCTGCAGTCCCTCTCAGCCACTGTCCTCAGAGACTTTTCCACTGTCGGGCAGCCGAATGTCTTTCTTCCTTGGGTTCTGTGTCATCTTTCTCAGACTCTGTTCTTGTCTTCCTAAAGCCTACACCAAATACCTCAACAAGAGAAGCTGAGGTAAATTAAAAATCTGTGCAAGCCTGAAATGCGTTTTTCTCTTCTCACACAGGGTTCATTGGCCAGATGCCAGTGTTTGCTAGAGTTTTGGAGCCTTTTCTCTATTGGCTTCTGACCTGCTGGCATGTACCGTGCTGCCCCATCCCCCCCAAAAAAATTCATTGACCAGTCTTTTTAATGATTCAACTTTTCATCAAACTTCTATTTTCTTTCTCTGGCATCACCAAATTTCTGTGCAGAGTAACTAAGAATGACCATGAGTTTATTCATGTAGCCAGTACAAGGCCATTTGGTCTTTTGCACCTCTCCTCATTTTCTTTGTTCCCTTCTTACAAGATTGCTAGGGTTGCAATGACAAAGTGCCACAGACTGGGTGGCTTATTTAACAGAAATTTGTTCTCACAGTTCCCATAGCTGGAAACCCAAGATGAAGGTGCTGACAGGACTGGCTTCTTCTAAGGCCTCTCTCCTTGACTTGTAGATGGCCACCTTCTCTCTGGGTCCTCCCTCATTCTGTCTTCCTGATGAGTGTGTCTGTGTCCTGTTCTCTTCCTATGAGGAAGTCAGCCATATTGGATTGAAGTCCATCTTACTGGACTCATTTGGCCTTTTTAAGACTGTTTCTCCACATAAAATCACATTCTGAGGTTCCAAGATGTGGATTTGGAAGGATACATTTCATCCCATAACACCTTCCTTCATTTTATTTATTTTTTTTATTATTCATATGTGCATACAAGGCTTGAGTCATTTCTCCCCCCTTACCACCCACTCCGGCCCCTCCCTCTCCCCCCCACCCCCTCAATACCCAGCAGAAACTGTTTTGCCTTTATCTCTAATTTTGTTGAAGAGAGAGTATAAGCAATAATAGGAAGGAACAAGGGTTTTTGCTGGTTGAGATAAGGATAGCTGTACAGGGCATTGACTCACATTGATTTCCTGTGCGTGTGTGTTACCTTCTAGGTTAATTCTTTTGATCTCCTTTTCTCTAGTTCCTGGTCCCCTTTCCTATTGGCCTCAGTTGCTTTTAAGGTATCTGCTTTAGTTTCTCTGCGTTAAGGCAACAAATGCTAGCTAGTTTTTTAGGTGTCTTACCTATCCTCACCCCTCCTTGTGTGCTCTCGCTTTTATCATGTGCTCAAAGTCCAATCCCCTTGTTTGTTTGCCCTTGATCTAATGTCCACATATGAGGGAGAACATACGATTTTTGGTCTTTTGGGCCAGGCTAACCTCACTCAGAATGATGTTCTCCAATTCCATCCATTTACCAGCGAATGATAACATTTCGTTCTTTCATGGCTGCATAAAATTCCATTGTGTATAGATACCACATTTTTTAATCCATCGTCAGTGGTGGGGCATCTTGGCTGTTTCCATAACTTGGCTATTGTGAATAGTGCCGCAATAAACATGGGTGTGCAGGTGCCTCTGGAGTAACCTGTATACAGTCTTTTGGGTATATCCAAGAGTGGTATTGCTGGATCAAATGGTAGATCAATGTTAGCTTTTTAAGTAGCCTCCAAATTTTTTCCAGAGTGGTTGTACTAGTTACATTCCCACCAGCAGTGTAAGAGGGTTCCTTTTTCCCCATCCTCGGTGGTATTACTGGATCAATGGTAGATCAATGTCTAGCTTTTTAAGTAGCCTCCAAAATTTTTTTTCCAGAGTGGTTGTACTAGTTTAACATTCCCACCAGCAGTGATAAGAGGGTTCCTTTTTCCCACAATCCTCGCCAACACCTGTTGTTGGTGGTGTTGCTAATGATGGCTATTCTAACAGGGGTGAGGTGGAATCTTAGTGTGGTTTTAATTTGCATTTCCTTTATTACTAGGGATGGTGAGCATTTTTTCATGTGTTTTTTGGCCATTTGAATTTCTTCTTTTGAGAAAGTTCTGTTTAGTTCACTTGCCCATTTCCTTATTTGTTCATTAGTTTTGGGAGAATTTAGTTTTTTAAGTTCCCTATATATTCTGGTTATCAGTCCTTTGTCTGATGTGTAGCTGGCAAATATTTTCTCCCACTCTGTGGGTGTTCTCTTCAGTTTAGAGACCATTTCTTTTGATGAACAGAAGCTTTTTAGCTTTATGAGGTCCCATTTATCTAGCTATCTCTTAGTTGCTGTGCTGCTGGGGTTCCGTTGAGAAAGTTCTTACCATACCTACTAACTCCAGAGTATTTCCTACTCTTTCCTGTACCAACTTTAGAGTTTGGGGTCTGATATTAAGATGATTGATCCATTTTGAGTTAATCTTGGTATAGGGTGATATACATGGATCTAGTTTCAGTTTTTTGCAGACTGCTAGCCAGTTTTCCCAGCAGTTTTTGTTGAGGAGGCTGCAACACCTTCCTTTAGATCTTGGGGATTGTCCCTCTGTCCTGCCCATCTGCCATGCATACTCATCCCTGGTTCACCTGGAAGGAAAGTGCTGTGATCTTCACCTCTCCTTTCTTGGCCTTTGTGTATGCGTGTAAGCTGGAAGCACCTCTGAGGTTCCTTTTTGCCTTGGAAAGTGGTTTCCACTGTTCTGATTGCTTCAGAAATGTGCCCTAACTTGAGGAACCCTGGGCAATTTGTGCTACCCTTTCTTGTTCTGGGGTTTAAAAAAACTTAATTAAAAAAAGTCTGATAAAATCTTGGAGAAGAAGAGAGACAAATGAGATTAGCAACGCACTACTCCCACCCATCCATGTGGTGTCTGTGGTAAAAGCTAGTTTGGGGTCTTGGGGACATGGCTCAGGGGGTACGTACACCACAAGGCCCTGAGTTAGATCCCCAGTACCATACACACACAAAAAAGTGAAAAGATAATCACAAAATTATCCCTGTTAACTGCCAACAGCAAATCCTGAAGGATCAAAGAGTTTATCATTTCAATAATACCTAGCAACAACATATTAAAAAAGAGGAAGTTCTTGAAAACAAGTGTCAGAAGTCATTTTTTTTTTTGTAGTGCTGGGATCTGAACTCAGGGCTTTCACCTTGAGCTACTCCACCAGCCCTTTTTTGTGAAGGGTTTTTTCAAAATAGGGTCTCTCAAACTATTTGCCCTGGCTGGCTTTGAACCACGGTCCTCTTGATCTCTGCCTCCTGAGTAGCTAGGATTACAGGCGTGAGCCACCGGTGCTGGGCAGAAGTAATTAATAAACAGAAAAACTTCAAGAATTTCAGAAAGTCAGACTTCTGAGTAATATGTGAGTTAACATACAAAATTTTAAGCAAGTGGATTCCTTTTGATCACAGGGTATCAGTTAGTTACAAGATTTAAATGATTACCATACATAGAACTTTTGAAATAAAATGGCAGTATGTTTAGTCGAAAATGGTTTGGGCCAGGCGCCAGTGGCTCACATCTGTAATCCTAGCTACTTGGGAGGCTGAGACGCCTGTCTCCAAAAATAACCATAGCAAAAATGGACTGGAGGTGTGGCTCAAATGATAGAATGCCTGCTTTGCAAGTGCAAAGCCCTGAGTTCAAATCCCAGTCCCACCAAAAAGAATTGGTTGAGAATTTGACATTATTCTTTCTCATGTGTTTTGAACATTACATGTGGTTACTTATTCCATATATCTATAAACAATGTGTTGTTTGGTATGTTTTTAAACTTGATATAAGTTATTGCCCTGTGTATTTGTCATTCTGCAATATTGTAAACAAGATGACAAAGCATATAATTGCAATATTTTGCCATATTGCCTATGCTTCTCTTGCTCAATTTGCCATAATCCACTATTCCATTCCATTGGTGCACCACAACTTATTTACCAATTATTTTCCTGGTCAAGGAAATTTAGATTAGTCCCATTTTTCCAAAACAAAGCTACAATCCATTCTTGCCTGTTTCTTTGTTCAGATGTAGGAAGTTCCTCTAGGGAGGTGGTCTTTAAACTGTTGATCACATTTAATAATATTTTGAGCCTGTACCATGTATGAATATGGTATTTTTAATAAATTATATATAATAGTTAATATGTATATTATACATATAAACTTCTATATCAAAAAAACAGCACAAAGTTGATGAAACATGAGCACATATTTTAGGCCACATATTAAAGTTTAAATTGTTCTTTCCCGGACTTAGGTATACACTGTTATTACTTCTGTTCTCTAAATTGGATAATCTCTATAAGCCTTCACTCACCTACTTAGTACAAAAAGTCAACCAGTCTTATTTTGGGCTGTACCCTTCTCATCCCAAGGGTACCACTAGTGTAGCCCGAAACACTAACAAGCAACCCCTCACCATCTCTTCTTGCTGTTAGCCACCTGTGGGTCCTAGGCAGGCAAGAAGTTCACCCAGTTCCATGCGAGGCTTAGGTAGGCCTGGAGGGCTTGCCAAAGTGGAAGTCTGGGGATCTAGGGCCCAGGCATATTGGGTGTCCAATTCTTGCTGCATTCTAACAGGCACTGGTCCCTGTCACTCCAGAGCCAAACAGGTCTCTACCATCTAAGGGAAGTTCCTTAACACTGTCTCTTCTCGCTGGGTTAGCACTTCTTCCTCTGCAATCCTTAAAGCCCTTCCCTGCCCCAGCTCTTGGAGGTAACAAAAATGACAGGCCTTCCTCCTCACCCCTGCCTGGAGCTGTCTTCTAGCAGCTGCACAACTTCTGGTTTGGGGCCTTTACCTCTTTGACACTGAAACTTTGGAGCAAGGACCACAAAGGCACGCTGCCTTCCGAAGAGGAAGGGATCCATACCTGGCTCAGTGCCTTCTTAGTATCAGTAATCAGGTAGCACTTACAATGTACTTAGAACAGTGCATGTCATGCATAAATCCTGTACTAAATGACTTCTTCCGGGGAGGTTTTCATGAGTGGGGAGGCAAGGCACACCTAAGGTTGCTGACTTTCTGCTTTTAGACTAGGGATTTTCTGTAAGCATCTTCAGTGCCCTCGAAAAGGGGAAAAGAACCCAACAACCAGGCGCAACTGTGGCCTAAGTCATTCCACAGTTCAGTCATAAGGCAGATGGCTTTCTGTTTCAGATTTGTAAACACTTTGATGGGGACGATGAGCGTGGAAATGAGTGGGAAAGTGTATGAAAACATCGCCAGTCGTGATGCCACCGAGTACCAGTTCTTCCCTTCCGGCACGTAAGTACCTCTCCGGGATGCTGCTCCAAAATTCAAAGATTTTAACTTAAAAACTCCACTGAGGCTTTTAATACCAAAAGTGTTAACCTCTGTAATTCTTTCTTTTACTAGAAAAAGCTTTACAATAAACTCAACGGAGATTGCACAAGAGTGTCCACGTGACTTCCAATCTTCCAACCTTGACTTTGGCAGTGCTTACACCTATGTAGTCCGAAGGGAGGTTAGTAAGGGTCCCTCGAATCAGACCTTAGCCTCAGAGTGTTCACGTGACTCCTCACACACACCTGGGACGTGCTCAGGATTTAACTAGAGAAGCATTAGATCCCACGGCTTACTGCTAATTCTTTAATTTACTATTGACTTACAGTGAGAGTAGAATAAAACTCAGCAGGCTGATTGATACTGACTAAAAGTTCATGTTGACCAGGAGCGTTTGCTTCTTTACAGACTATTAACATGGACTTAGGAACTTACAGTTCAGCTGGCAGAGTGGCTCAAGTGGTAGAGCACCTGCCTAGCAAGCATGAAGCCCTGAGTTCAAACCCCAGTATCACCAAAAAAAAGAAAAAATAGAAACTTATAGTTCAAAGACATGGCTATGTTTTAAACAAACTGAACTTCCAATCCACTCTTATTTAAAAGGAAACTACCAGGTGGGTATGGTGGAGTATGCCTGTTATCCCAGCACTTAGAGGGCTAAGGCAGGAGGATCACAAGGTCAAGACTCGTGTGGGTTACATAGCCGAGATCCTGTCAAAAAAAGAAAAAAGAAAGAAAAGGAAACTACTAGTGAAAGTTTTCAACTCTGAACCAAGGCCATCCCCTCACAAGTACAAAGGCACTGTTACATTTAACATTAGATTTTAAATGTGTACTTCGTAAGTAAGTACCTGAAGTCACCCAAAAGGTCAAACTCAATTTGCCTGTTTGAACAATTGTTATTCTAGAAGTTCTCTCCACTTCGATTTCAACTTCCTCCTTTTGCCTTAACGGTTTAGGGAAATGGCTGCCTAGAAGTGAAGCACTTTGAAGACATTCCACCGAACACTGTTAGCATGGCTCTGCAAATCCCACAGTATTTCCTTCTCACCTGTGGCGAGGTGGTCTTCTCTATCACGGGACTGGAGTTCTCATATTCCCAGGTTTCTTGTTCATTGTGTTTATCACCCCTGCGCTATCCCCTGCCTTCAGAAAATGCTGCTAGAACTTGATCTAAATCTGGGATAACTATACTTTTATAGCTTTAAAAAATTCTAGCAGGCACCAGTGGTTCACATCTGTAATTCTAGCTCCTTGGGAGGCTGAAATCAAGAGGATCGCAATTTGAGGCCAGCTTAGGCAAATAGTTCCTAAGACCCCATCTCCAAAATAACCAGAGCAAAATGAACTGGAAGTGTGGTGCAAGCAATAGAGCATCTGCTTTCAAGCACCAAGCCCTGAGTCCAAACCCCAATCTCACCAAAAAAAAAAAAAAATTCTGGAAAGTGTTATGGTATCTCTCACAGTACAAGGTCTCTGAGTTCAAGATCTTTACTGAGTACGAATCCTGCTGTGTTAGCATTGTGAGTGCTCCTATCCACGTGTGTCTGGACACCCACGGTCACGCTAGCTACCAGGGTCACAGTATAGATCGTGCATTTCATAGCAACTAATGCCACCAGCTACTCATAAAAGTGCTCATTCATGGGTCTGTGTTCTTGTCATATTTAAGGTTCCATTGGGGTCTCTTTGTAGCTCCCAGTAACCACATTAAATAAGTCCTAGCTTTAAGAACAAGTATAGGAATGGCAGAGTGGCTCAGGTGGTAAGAGCACCTGCCTAGCAAGCATGAGGCCCTGAGTTCAAACCCCAGTATTGCCAAAAAAACAAATAAAAGACACCAGCAAGCTTAAAAAAATATGTATTGCTTTAAAGTATAGTAGATGAATGAGGCAAATGTTGACATCCAAATTAGAGCCTAATTTCTGAACTATTTTGTCAAAACTAGAATTACAGTTATTGTGCCCCACAATCTCTAGTGCCTTCTTTTATTGTAGTAAAGACAGTCATGATGAGCTGGATAATTTCTTTCTGTGATGACTGCACAGTCTAAAGGGTTGATCATAGTCCAGGTGACAAGAGTTTGAGGTAGGGAAGGCACAGAAGAGCTAGCCTGCAGCCCAGAGAGCCATCTCCATATGGTAAAGAATACACAATGGATGGCTTTGCTTGGAAACTCTTTTGAGAAACAGGGTGGACTAAGTGAACCACTTGTAGGCAAAAGTGTGAAGAGTGAAGCACAGAGATGCCTGCTTTGGGTTCCTGTTACCCAAGTGACTCCTCTTTCATATTTAAATGAACTTGGCCTTTACTGCACACTCTCAGGGTAGACTGTCTGGAGAAGTGAGGGGAGAGCTATGCCCTGCTCCGAGGCAGAGATCTGGACGCTCATTCACTTTGCTTTGCTTCCTCAGGCTCCATCCAACATGAAGTCAGTGCTTCAAGCAGGGTGGCTGCTGACGGTGGCTTTTGGTAACATCATCGTGCTTATTGTGGCAGGAGCAGGCCAGATCAGTAAACAGGTACGGGGCGGAAAGGAGATTGGAGGTGCCTCTCTCCTACCCATGAATGGTCATTGCCACAACCCTCCCCGATGTCTAGAAACAAGTGGTCATTGGCTAATGACCAGATCCAGTTGCCAGCGCAACCACACAGGGCTGTTACCAATAGCTTCATAGCAAAGTGTATCACGCAGTTGGAAACTGACAAGTTAAGTGAGCAGACTGAGTTCTAGTATGTACACCCTAGGATGTGCTGCTATCAAAGGAAGCATCTTTCTTAACTTCAGTGAGTGTAGCTTAAGAGCCCTAAATCAAGATGTGATATCTAGAAACATCCATCATACCTGAAGTTAAAATCATTTTCCAGCTAAAACAAAATGAGGGCTTTTCCCAAGCACTACAGCACATCAGGAACACCTGATATTTGTCTTTACCTCAACATTTTCATTACTTCTGCATCAAGACCCACCAAAGCGTATGCTAATGCTGGGGGTGGGTGAGTGTCTGCAAGGGATGATACAGGTCTTAGCTTGGTGAACCTCAGCACATTCTTTTTCCTGTTGGATACAGTTTGGCGTTCTCTTGGTCCCCATCCTCAGGCCCCTACCATGTATTTTAAGGCTTGGATGTTTCAGGAATTTTTTTTCTCATCTTCTCATAGTCTTGTTTTTCTGTACCCTGGTGCTGTTAGAAAAATGTTACCTGTTACCCAGGCATTTGAGAAAAGCTAGCCAGTCTATCTCTGTATTTATTGCCTGCCAGATTTCTGTAACAACCTAATTTCAAAGCATCTTCCACCTAGTCATAGTGAGAAAATATGCATACATATTAATATGACTTGTCTTTGTTTTTTTCTTGCTCCAACGCCGATCCCTTCGTAGTGGGCTGAGTATATACTATTTGCAGCATTGCTTCTGGTCGTCTGTGTAATATTTGCCATCATGGCTCAATTCTACACTTACGTCAACCCAGCAGAGATTGAAGCTCAGTTTGATGAGGATGAAAAGAAAAAGAAGGCAGGAGAGAGTAACCTGTATTCCAATTTGGAGCCTGTCTCACAGACAAAGATGTGAAGGTCAAGAAGCAAGGGAAGGAGGGACCGGACCTCTGTCCCTAGGAAGCAGGACACTCTATGTGCCCGCAATGGGGAACACTTTAGAATTGTGACCCAAACCAAGAAATCAATCTTCTCAGCGGCCAGCAATGAATCTGAAACTCTAGAGAAAGTCTTTTTAAGTCTTATTTAAAACAAATATACACACACACTTAACATTGACAGCATACCTTGCATTTAACTCCTCTCCTTCCATACAAATGCACTTAGTTTGGAAGAACTTAATTTTGAAAGGGTTCCGTGTTGTTTCTGTCCTAACACTCTTATGAACACAATGTTCACAGTGCCCAAAGTGTACTTACACTAAATACAGGTTTTATAATGGTATTCCTAAGTACCAGCAAGTATGAACTTATAACTTAACCTTTTTTTGGGGGGGGGGATTATTTTATTTCCCTAGTCCCTACCTCTTTGTAAATTATGTATAACTAAAAAGACTGCTCAAATGAAGACCAGTAGTGATTTTTGAGGTTTCACTGGTATGAAATAAATCCTGTTCTTAAGAATTAGTGTTCATTTGTCTTTCAGTAGGGTAAGAAATCTTTCACATGCTATCTGGTTATACAAGTAATATATGCTCATTAAAATTTCATCAGACGTTAATAAAAGCAATAAAAAATGTTCTTTAGGTAAATTCCAGGGACATGAAACATCAAGGTTTGTTTCTTCTTGGTCCTATTTTTTCCTGGGAAAATAGTCTGTATCTTTTCTACTAGTATCTTTCTATGAGCACAGGAGTGAACATGTCAAACTGTTTTCCTCAATATGGATGAGCGTCTTTCTAATTGAAGTAACAATTCTCCAAAACATTGTAAACCTTCAATGCCTAGTTCATCCTATATAATCATCCCAACTATCAGAACCAGAATGATTTAACTTTGGCATTCCCACGCAAACAAGTGATAATCTAGACAAACTTGTCAACAGCTCTGAAGATTGACACAGGCTCCCAGATGAAGAGGGACAGTCTGGGTCATGCTCAAGCTTGTTGTTGCATGGAGAGGGTGTATTGATTCACGGAGTGAGAAACGCAGGGTGACTGTCAAATCTTACTCCAACACCTTCTCAGCCTGAGAATCAAGTCTTCATCCCTTAACGAGGGACCGTGGGGACACATTGATGTCTCTCCACATACTCTGATCTAACCAATATTGAACATCTTCGTTCTCATTCTCAGGTCAAAGGACAAGAAAATCAGATCTTGACACATTCTCTGCCTATCACCCCACTCTCTTCTCCTCATTTTCCACTTTCTGCAGAGTTCTGCTGTCACCCCTTCCAGCCACATTAGTTTGTTGTCCTGCTCTGAGCTCCCATAACACACCAGAACATTCCCAGAGCTCCGTGTACAGTAACAGTCTAGCTTGCCCTAGACTGAAAGCTCTGTGTGTATCTTGTTCACCTGTCTCCAGAACATGGTAGTCTTCTATTTGTTAGATAAATATTTTAAACATCTTGGGGCTATGAGAAGTGAGATGAAAGAGAGAACTGAACAAATTAATTGGAATTTAATCAGAGCATGATTTTAATGAGCCTAATAACAAACTCAAGCAAGAAAGACTAGATACAAGGAGACACTAACTCTATCTCTCTGGCAGTTCATATCCCCAATTTTCCTCGTGTACCTTTGATGGGGGAATAACCCCTAAAGGATCTTCTTCAGCTTTTGATGGACATGAGGGGGCTCAGAGGGGAGCTTGGGCACCTTGCCATGAGGGTTACTGTTCAGAGTCATTCTGCCTCTGGCTCTTGTTTAACTACTCCTTCCAAGACACAGATGCTTGCATGGATGATCTATTCACAGGACCTTGGATAATGGCAATTGCCATGGGACAGGGGTGGCCAAGGGGAACACATGAGGCTATATCAATAACTTCTGCTCTTCTGCCCTCTTCTCCTGACTTTACATCTTTCTCTAAACTCCATGCTGAGCTGCATTCCCACTGATCAGAGTCCACTGGCTGGTGGTAGGAATGGTACATGGGTTGAGGAGGGAAGCCGGTGGAACAAATTCCATAGCTTATACCAAAATCTACAAAATTTTCTAAAGTGGTTACAGCAAACCTATGGATCTTTTTCATGTCATTTTGTTTTGTTCTGCTTCCACGTGATCCAACTTTTTTTTTCTACATTATGGACGTTATGTATCTCAAGGTATTAACATATTTATTTTACTTCAAAGTCTCCTTTAGACTGTATAAAAGTACTTCAGCAAATGTATGTTCAAGTTTGACTTTTGATGACTTTTAGTCATCGATTTTATTGTACATTCTAGAAAACACTTTTTTTTTTTTTGACAGTACTGGGGTTTGAACTCAGGAGCCTCACACTTGCTAGACAGGTACTATACCACTTAAGTCACACACCCCAGCCCGAATTTTTTGTATTCTTGTTTTTTAATTGTAAACAATAGTTCTTGACATGTACAGAACATCAGGTATGGGAACATAGCATGCTCAACACTCTCCTGAATTACATGTCCACGCATGCAGTCCAGCCACAGCACCACCACGTGGGTTATTCTTATTCCACAGAAGGGAAAGCAGGCGCAGGGAAGGAGGTAGCCTTCCCAGGGACCCCACGGTCTGCTCCAGAGCACAGACACTCACCAGCTGCCTCTCTCCTCCAGTGTTTAATCCATGGCATGGCATACTTTGATCTTCATCCTTCTAACAACAAAGGGGAAGGTTTTATGACCTTCATTTTAGAGATAGGGAAACTGAAGGGTAGTTTGCCCAAGACCCTATAGCCAGCAACTGGCTGAGCCAGGACTTGAACCCAAGTAGGTCTGAGCCAAGAATAAGACCTCTTACCATTAGGCTGTCATGTCTCCTTTCACATAACAGAAAGCAAACCTGTGACAGCTGAGGCCATGAAAGTGGAACACTAGGGCAAGGCAAAGAGGATGCTGGGGGGCCTCAGAGACCACCATCCACCTGAGTCCCAGGATGGACTCCCAGAGGGGCCATGTGTAGAGAGGTGAGGCTGGGAGTCCTGACTCCAAGGACAGTCCAGGAAAATGGGGCTCGTGTGGAACAGGTACCCTTCTGAAGCACCATATCCCCACTCCTGATGGGCCTAACTGGTAAACATCCCCATCATCAAGGGAGGTCCCAGCTGGTGACTTCTCCAACAAGGCTGGTGACTAGCTCTGAGCTCTCCATGCAGAGGGCCGTGTGGCAACCGGAGGGACAGCAGCTGGGTGAGGAGGACAAGACCACAAGAGGAAAGTGGCCGGTGACAGTGCTGGAGAAGAAAGGGAGGCCATCAGGTCGCAGGCCTCCAGCACATGACAACAGGAAATGTTTGGGCTCTTTCGTCTATTTATTCTTTAAATGGTGGTCAGATACACAGAAGAGAAAAAGGATCATTTTTAAGTGTACAATAGGTCAGTGACATTATTCACGTCTCTGTCTTCAGGACTCCTCATCCTGCGGAACTGAAATTGTACCCATTAAACTCTCGCTCCCATTCCCCTCCTCCTAGAGACCCGAGGATGGGAGAAACAAAAAAGCAATTCTCCTTCCAAAGCCTCCTTTCTGTAATGTCCAGCACTGTAGGCGTTCCAGAGACAGTCCTGTGTCAACCCGGTCAAAGGCTGCAAACAGGGAGAGACGTGGCCTCTGGGGCTCCCCGGCTTTTTAGCAAGACCACGACCACCATCATCCACTGTCGGGGGAGATGTTGGGCTTTGGTCCAGCCTTCCAGCATCCTGCTGACCTTTGGCCATTTGGAGTCATGTGGATTTTCATTCGATGTCGTGTCTGGCTTGTTCTAATGAAATTCCTTGGCTCCATAGTGAGCTTACAGATTCTGGGGAACAGGAACTGAATCTGGTAGGCTTATTCTGCTGTCTGGCACAGGAATCATGGGTGTTTTAGGGCTCAGTGTTCTGAGGCCAGTGGAGCCCTAAGAGCTGCCTGCTTGCTGGGCATCAGAGGACATAAGTGTATGACATGCCTGTGCGTGGGAGCTGGCCTGTCCTGTGCCGAGTCTAGTGTGCTCCTCATTTCACAGGTTGCTCCCAAGCCCCCATGGTCTCCATCACCACAGGACAGACAGGGAAGGGGACACAGGTCGGGGGCCTAGGAACTTGGACTGACACATACATTCCCAGCTATACAGTGGGCAGCAGGGGAACCAAGAGCCCCTTCCCCAAGTTGTGCCTCTGGGCAGAGATGACTTCTCAGTCTCCAGCAGCCCTGAGTTTCATTTCCAGTAAGACAAGACTTCAAGTAACACTGACTTCACTAAAAAGACTGACCTTCAGTAAGATAGAACTCCAGTCATCAGTCTTTCTTGGGTTCTTGGCTCAGTTTACAAACCTGGAAAGAATTCATGTCAGGTCCCACTTCTAAAAGCCACCACCCACGTGTGTCCAATAATTATATACTAAGGGCCTACAGTGAACACCTCAGGAGAGCGACTATGAGTGATCTAGAGAGTGAGGGAGATCGTCTCTCTGTGTGTGTGTGTGTGTGTGTGTGTGTGTGTTGTGTGTGTGTGTTCCCTGAAGAGCTCACAGAAAAGGTGAAACAAGAGAAGCAAATGAAGCCACTAATGAAATTAAGGGAGGTTTGGAATCAGTGGCCCCAGAGCAAGGCCAGGACCTTGCAGATAAGAATTGGAGGCGTGAGGGCTTCCTGCAAGGAAGACCTGCAGGTACCCCAAGCAAGTAGAGGTCTGGGCAAGAAAAATTAACTTAGAAGCAAATTGCCTGCAGGTGGGAAGAGAAGGGGTGACAGTGAAAGAGCTGGGGGGGAAGGACAGCCAGGCATCTGGATAATCTCTCTTGTCTCTTAGCTGGGTCAGTGCTAGAAAGCTGGACCTTGGTGAGAGCCTGACTCCTCCCATTTTAATTCTGAGACCTTGGGGCAGGCCACACAGGGACCAAGATCATCATGTGTAAAGCAGACAGTGCCTGCTGCCCAAGGTTGCTGGGTGGTGTTTGACCCAGGT